TCTAAAATACAGAAACGCCTCGAGCACTAACAAATCATCGAATTTTGAAGCTTTCAAAAATTGACTACGATTGTTCACTATTTTTACGAAGCAAATGAGCGTTTACCGCTTCGAAATATAAGATTTTGCATTTTACGTGTACACGCTGGGGTGGGGTCAAATTCAAGAATTATGAAAATTTTATCGCCAAAGATTCCGCAAATTGGAGAGAAAATACACTCACTGGAAAGAGGAGGAAAAGCTGCACCGAATAACACCTTAGTTGCGCGCCGTTTCATGATCTCTGGGTTTTGGCATCACCAAAAGTAGAATTTGATAGCATCAGAAAAATAATTCTAAAAAAATTTTCAAGGCTGGCTATAGATGCCGCAAAATTGCATTATATTGCCCTTTGTTTGCTTTATCTAACTGTTGCCAAAGCTTTTCCGAAAGTCAAAAATAAAGATGGTGAAAAATTGCCAAACTGGACATAGTAAAAACCATGGGTTCGAAATTTCGGCGTTTATCTCAGTGAACAAAAGATTAATCGGCATGTGGGCTTGACAGTTAGAAAGAGGAGGAAAAAATGCGTCGGATAGTGCTTAGAGCGTTTCCCTATCTTTGTTCCACGTATTTTTATGATAGGTTGAAAAAACGGACAAAACTTTCGGGACAACCTAATACTAGGATGAGTGTGATTCCCTATTTTTCCTATTTGATGTACTGTCTCTATTTCGTATGTATTCTTCTGAAAGCATATGGCGCCATATTCTGTTCGAATTTCCAATAAATGCACTCAAGGCAATGCGCAAATTTTCCAAAAGTGCGTATAACGCGGCGCGGGGTGTGAGCGTTTACGAAGTCGCTTTACGTATGTCCGCTGATCAAGCGATAAGCGATTCTCACGCAATGAACTACCGCTCAGGCAGTCTAGTCGCAGCGATATAAAATCGCAACGACGGGATTGCGGGAGGTATGCCTTAGGCCATAGGCCTGAAGCAGTATCATGAAGCGGTTTTTGAAGGTACAATGTCTGCGAAAATATGAAATATTATACGAGCAAAAGTCGATTGCTGCTCAGCTGGAGCGGTTCAACGGCTTTCACTCACGCAACTTTTCATCAGCTTGGGCCATAGTAAGAATCCCCTCACGCGCATGTGCACAACAAATTGATGTCATACTATTACGAACTGTTTGCAGCGCTTTTGTATGTTTGGGATAGAGCATGCCGGTTGCATGCCGCAAGGGGGCATACTTGCCCTCTTTTCCGCGAATTCCGCAAAAACGATATCCCCTCTTTCCTATTACCAGAATCTAGCTTGACCCGGTTACAGCAATGCCGGGCTCTGTTCAAAAGTTCGTATTAACATCCGTCCATGCCTTAGTGAGCCAGTAGCCTTTGGAGTGGAGTGATCTCACCTGTAGTATCTGCTCCAAAAACATCTACCAAACAGCCAAATCAAATATTTTATTTTTTTCTCACAGCCAAACTTATGCTGCCACTATTTAATAAAAACTAGAAGAACAACTGAACATTTTTTCGAGATGTGGAAACTGTGGATCGATTGAAGAAATTCATGCCATTAAAATCTCCTATGAAAAGTGTGGTGGATGTGATTCTGGCCATTTTGTTCATTGATACTATGATATACGCTCAGGGTGCAAAGCGAAAATATCTAAAAAGTGACAAACAAACATAGACAAAAGTGAGGAACTGATGATCTAAACACTCACACGATTCTGCCAATGAAAATAAGAGACCTGATAAGCGCACGTGTCAAAGACGGAAGTCTTGACTAAAAAAATGAAATTGTGTCAGTAACTGGTCTTTGCATCAACAAACCCTGCCTTTGCAACAAGTCCAAGTCAGTTTAAACCTCTACACTGAGAAAAATACGCTCCAAGGGTTCACACCGAGTAATTCCGCAAGACCGACTTCTCCTGTTTCCCCTTTCCACGTTTCAGTACGATCCTCCACTTGACACCACCTTCATGGCATTGCTGCCATTGTGGCGGGGCTACAGTGAAAAGACACAACTTGTTCGCAATTCTGCTTTGTCGAACCTCTAAAAACACGGGATTTCCGAGCATTCCACGCAATTTCAAACCCGCATAGATCAGGCAGGATGAGAAAGGCTTGTGACAAGCAAAAATCTAGTAAACCAAATTCTTGTGAGACACTGCCCTTAAAAACTTGCCTGCATAATTTTATGAATCAGAGCCTTTCTGAGCTGCGCTGTCGATTAGGCTCAACCCAAAGTCTTATCTGTGCTACTTACAAAAACATGAGCTTACAATTCACCTCATGAATTTCGCACCAAATTCAAAGATTGCCTAAAGAATTCTGTCACGATCGAGACGTCGATAACTGTATCACGTACCCTCTCCGAGGTTATACTGTAGACTATAAACAAATGGTTCAGTGATCGTGCATAATACAAAAATTCACCTTACTTGAGCTTTTTGTACAACGTGGACTGCACTATAGCTATCTTCCAATCTGGACTGATTTTACAATGTATGATGCTCTTAACTTGTATTACGTACTTTCAGCTTCACAAAAAGGAGTGACAACCCTCTGCCACGTGTCCAAAAATATTAACATGTCATCTACATGTTTGACGGGTTTTTACTAAAAGTTTGTATGCCTAAGTATCAACATAAGTTTAATCTATTTCAACTAAAAATGACCCCACTTTGAATTCAACAAATCAAAAAAGAACACTCACCTCTATCAAAATATTGTACTGTTTTCAGTGAACATACCAAATTTGTTCAGAACAGCAAAATGCCTTAATCATTAAGCGGCGAAATAAGCGACAGTAAGGCGCAAGTCATCATTCAGCTTCCTTGCTGAATCCTTCTCTTAGTTTTTCCACCTGGCAGAAACCAACAAGAGGAAGATTTTTAAAATCTCTGTGAAAGCAATTAAGTTCCAAAAAAGTTTAGAATAGTTCTGCTTCTATAAAACAGCTGACAGCTTTTGAGTTATCTCAAATGTTCTTGTAACTTACCGGAAATATTTTGAAAATATGACAAACTGAGCCAAAATGCATCCATATTTTTCCAGACAGGCCAAAACACTTACAGAGCTTCTTGAAAAAGGTATGCAGATTACGGAAGAGTACCTATAAATCAGCATCGTTCTCGATACGAGCACACAGCAGCAACGTTTTGAACACATTCGAGTAGTCCTTACGCCGTAGATCTACTGTATCTCGTGCTCTGTGTTCAATGGCAAATAAATGTAGTCATTGCAACCATCTCGATAAATAACCATTCTAGAACAAACCCGAGGAAAGTGTGGCTTTATACCGTACTCCTTCGGTATCATTACATTGTGTCAACAGCAGCAGATCAATAAAATGCAGTTATCAGCACTACAAGTTATTCATCCAAGCACTGAAGAAATTGATAAAAACTGATTGCCTGGCGTTTCCTGCTGTGGCTGAACAGTCAGTGGCGCTTCTATATATCAAAAGATGCGCGTTGACTAGCTGAGTTGACGGCGTACAATCCATAATTCCTCCAGCCTGAATCGAGGTATGACGATGCGATGAGGACATCAAATTCGAATTTGAATTTCTAACCGTAATCATGTATACACGTTTGTTAATGCAATTCATCTGTGCCAACTATAACATGGCAGATCGTTTTTCGTAGATTTCTTCTTTCTTTCAGATGTTCTCAACACATTTCTATTTTGGTCCGCTCATGTTGCCATTTCCGCGTTTTGAAATTTGATTCTTGGGATCTGAGCAATAAAATCAGAAGGTCAATGATTTGACGAGAAACTGCACCTAAGTAAATTGATTTTTTGTAAAAAACATAGGAGAGAAATATCAGGGAATGACTGATAGTTCGTTGATTAATCGAAGTGACAGGTAAACTGAAGCGGGATTTCCAGAAAGACTGTAGGTGGTCTAAATCATCGCAATCACGGCCATTCTTAAGCTCAACTCAACCCAAAAACCAAAATCGGGCTCGAGCTCGAGTTGACCATGCATATATGTCTTCTTGAAGTTCATTTCATCTTCGCAAACTAGAGTCGTTCTATTGTTACGGACCAACGCAGGGATCGCAATGTGCATGATAATTCAGGAATGGTTTGTGAAAGGCATCGCCGATAAAATCAAATTAGGCGATTATTTACTGAAGCGCGCAGAAGGTCGTAACTAGGAAATGTGTCTTTCGATATCGAGCGTTATCTTATCTTCTAATAATAAGCTGACCACCTGGCTAAAAAAAGGAGCATTTATAAGTTTGTGATTCTTTTGCAAAATCTAGATTGCTGATAGAACATCGCTCTGTACACTTTGTACTGCCGAGACTCCGAGGGTACATTTGGTTTTATTTTTGTTCGTCTCCTCTTCTCTTTCTATGATTAAGCTCCTGATGAAATAATGAAGATGTTCAGTGGCCTAGATTCAATCATGAAAGCATCTAGCGCTGATACTGTGTATTGACTCTGCACTCCACTCTCAGTTTTGAGTATAACATGTACCACGGAACTCCAGAACACCGTGCTGTACGGCTTCTTATACCGACTCTTATAAGTTTTCATCCGTCATACCGAAATATTCAACCAGCTTTCACTCAAGCAAAGCGCTTATCATTCAATTTATTGTTATAACCCGAACCAAACACAACACCAAAAAGAAAACGTTCGTTCTCGTCATCAAGTGATGACGAGAGCGGGGAGTGCTCAGAAAATTAGTTGAGGAGATAGGTAGTTAGCATTTTTCAACTTCCGCTGTGATCGAAACACGAGTTTTTCCATATCAATATTGAATGACCTTGTTTGATCAAAAAATCATATTCGTATGCTGAATTGGAATGGATTATATTACTTATTCAAATGAGGCCCGAGCATTATTTTTATAATAATCCTTGTGTGATTTTGTCCGCCTCGTGTTGTATCATCATACCCTAAAATGTAGTAATATCTTTTACTTTTATTTCATCATCTGATTTCCACGTAATCAGATTTTTCAGATACGAATAGTTATTCCTTTACAGGAATGAAAAAAACGGATAAAACAGATTACAACACGAAAACTTTTGTGGAAAAACTTTTGGATGTTATATTGTGCAGGTAAACATTTCTGGGACATACTGAATTTTTTAAAAAAATTATGAGCATAAAATGTACGCTTTCATTAGGGTATTCTTTGCTGCGCTACAAATTTCATTAATCATATATGCTTGATAGTACATTACAGGGGTGATCTCGCAGATGAATGTATTAACAAAGAGCCAGTGTCTATTACACAACTAGTGAGTCTTTCATTTTCCATTAGCTAAAGAATTAAATATTTGCAGCTATAAAGGATTTATTAGGTTGGTGCAGAAGTTTTGTCAGTTTTTTCAATCCATCGGCAAACACGCTAGAATGAATATAAACAAACATCTCAAAATGTATCCGATGCAGAATTTCTTCCTCTTTCAAGCTGCTGAACTTTCATTATATTTCTTTGCGAGAGTGACGAGATATATGCTGGAAATTGCAACCACTCCTTTTCACCATGTCCAAATTTAGCTACTTTTCAAAAATTTTGTGTGAGACTTCCAGAGGAGCCCTAATAACCATCAGATAGGGCAAACATTTTGCCAACATAAGCAATTTTTAACTTTTTTTCAGCTGCTTTTTCAGATTTTTGCTAAATAAAAAAAGTTTTTTAAAAGTTTTGTGTTTTGAAAAAATTGCAAAACCTGTTATTGCACCAAACACTGCAAAACCTACAGGATACCGAGGTTTCAACACTCGATTGTTACTACTGCTACCATTACAAAGTAAATGAGCGATTTTCGTTTCAAATTAGGAGGATTTTGAAACATAGGTTACATCAGGGCGCACTCCTGAAATTGAGAAATACTGCGATTTTTCCCACAAATTTCGCTTGTCTAGGCAAAAAAAGACAAGTGTTAGGAAGAGGAGAAAAATTCGCATCGAATGGTGACTGAAGTGTTTAGTATTTTATGTTTTACGAGATTAAAATAGGGTGAACGTAAAATTTGGTCACTTCGAAAAATAAATCGTAGAAATTCTGGAAGACAAGATGTAGGGCTACAAAAAATTGCTTCTGTTGGCAAAAGATTTGTCCTATCTGCTGGTTATCAGTGCTCCTCAGGAAGTCCCACACAAAAATTTTGAGAATTAGCGAGAGCTGGACATGGTAAAAAAGAGTGGTTGTAATTTCCAGCAAATACTTCTTCAATCTCGCAACGAAACACAATGGGAGTTTTACTGCTGGAAAGAGGAAGAAATTCTGCATTGGATACATTCTGAAGTGTTTCTTTATCTTCATTCTAGCGTGTTTGCCGATGGATTGAAAAAACTGACAAAACTTTTGCACCAACCTAATATTATACCATACAGCACACATGTTAGCTTCAAATTCGATATTATTTCAGTCCCTTTTTTCAATTATTGTTTCAGCTCCCACAAACTCCTCAGAAATTTTCGCTCCTTATAAATTCTCTCAATCACGATTAGAATTAATTGAAAGTTATCACATTCCAAACATTCGGGTGCGACGTTGTGCAATGACGGCGGCGGTGGTATCCTTCCGCATTTACTACCTTCACAAGCTCATCATTTTATCAAGACTTACAAGTGAGAGGCACAAACATAAGTCGGCGATTGAAGACGATGTGTATATCGCTAAACGCGTCTCTCAACGCTGATTCCAAATCTGATTCCTATTCCAAACCAAATCTTTTTTTAAAAAAACAACTCTTCAAAAGTTATGAGCATTTGAATGTCTAAATTTGGCAAGCGTTTGGCTTAAAATTAGAGCAAAGCTCTAATAGACCACCTATGTCGATTTCTGCCGGCTTTGTACCTTCCTCGCAGACATATACTTGATACAAAATTAACTACCATTTTTAGATGATTTTGTACAGATTTTCGCTAATTTCAGGCCACTTACTGCCAAATTTGTACATTCGAACGCTCATAACTTTTTCAGCTAAAGTTTTTCACAAAAAAAGGGAGCAGATTTGAAATCAGCCCTCAAAGATGCGTTGATATACATATACTGATATACAAATTCAGTCGCCAAACTATGTTCGTATCCTTCCGCTATCAGCATAATTGTACAAACGCCTCTTCTCCTTGTATTGCTGTGCATGTTGTTAGCATAAAAAAAATGAATCTCAAGGCTTTTAGTCATACATCCGATTGTTTCATTTTCAGTTCAGATATGCATCAAAAAGGGATCGTTATTATGTTGCAGCTGGATTTATACTAGCTGTTGTTGGTGGCATCATAATGCCGCTGAATTGTTTGGCTGGAGGGTTGTATACCAACATCTTTCTCAAAAACAGCAATGTGAGTTCGACCAATGCTTTCTTCTACAATTATTGTTCACATTCGGATATTGAGTCAAACACAATCCAGTTGTAAGATATAAATATATACAAGAGCTTCACAATTTAGCACTATCAAAATAATGAGCTCTGGGAGCAGGCTATGTACTTATGTCTCGCTTATTTGATACTTGGTTGTGTACTGTTTGTGATATGTTATATGCAGGTTAGAGAGAATTCAAAATAATTTACAAATTGACCACGAACAACTTCAGCATTATTTTCTCTTTTTGGCGAGCCGGAATATAGTTGAACGAATACGAAAAGAATTCATATCTGCAGTGCTTAGACAGAACGCTGTATGGTTAGACGAAAACAATTCCGGCACTATTACGACGCAGCTAAATGAGTATGTTGTCAGCATCTATGTATTGAAAGAGTAAGATTGTGACATAACTGAACTTTTGCAGGAACATCACTCAGATTGAGGATGGAATTGGTGACAAGATTGGGATGCTTGCTCGGGGGGTGTCCATGTTCATAGCAAGTGCGGCCTTAGCATTCGCTTATAGTTGGAGGATTACTCTTATTTGCATAGCAGTCGGCCCAATCAGTGCAATCACTATGGCAGTGATGTCCAAGGTTAGCCATTCTGGTCTTGGCAACTTTTTTGTTGTCTTAAACGCGACGTTCACTCAAATTTCGCCTTCCTGCTTTTGTCTCTGGAGCCTATCCCCGGCTCTAATTGCAGTCATAAAGTAGAAATGTGCAAAACTCCCAAAAACTCAATACCTGGGAGCCGTATCCTAAAGACCAAGACCGCTTTCATAACCTGAGTGGGCGAGGCTTGATTGGATTCGGGCGTGGCTTGATAGCACTTTCGCGGTTCCAGGTCCATTATCTCCATTCAGAGACAACATAGGAGACCGGACCAATGCAGATGTCCTCTTCCTGACTACGTTTAGGATAGGTATCAATCGGAGGGAATTATTTTTGGCTGGACGCCTTCACGCAATCATATTATTAGATACAAATGCAACTGTAACACTTTCCTTTGACAAGCGGAAAAAAATGACGATAAAGCCAAAGCTAGGACGGACTTACTACGTCAAATGTGACAATAGAGTGTGTGCAAGCAAATTATCATTATCCGCCTCTTACCCTTCGAAGCTCTATCGCATTGAATCAAACAGTCAAGCTTAGAGTCTATGCACCTTATTTGAAGCAAAAGAGTACAATCATGAACCACTTCTAATTCCGTGCAAAATAGCATGCATCCATGGTTCCTTGCATAGTCAGTGCAGAGACTCACGACGGATTTGTTTCAGTGTGGTGTTTATACATGCATCAATATTAACGTCATCAACGCAGCAAAATAAACGTTGACATTGTAACGCTCGAACTCTCATGGTTCCAACTTTTTTCCGGGACGCTGCCTCTTTAAAGGCAGTACATCGGCAGAATGCGACTCGTGACAAAACAAGGTCACAGGGTAGGAGCCCTCATATGGAACCTATCGGCCAAAGTCCGATCTTTCTCTGCCACTTCTAACCCCCGAAATTTCAAAGCGAAAGCAGCGCTCATCTCCTCTCTTCTCCGAACCCGCCCACCCCATGGACGAGCGATGTCCGCGGTCAGAGCGCCAGCCGCAATGCTATAAGCATGAGGTCCCGCAACGACTCTGCGTCTTCGCCATGACGGGCTTCGCGTTCACTCGTCCATGGGGTGGGCGGGTTCGGAGAGGAGAGGAGATGAGCGCTGCTTTCGCTTTGAAATTTCGGGCGTTAGAAGTGGGAGAAAGATCGGACTTTGGCCGATAGGTTCCATATGGGGGCTCCTACCCTGTGACCTTGTTTTGTCACGGGTCTCATTCTGCCGATGTACTGCCTTTAACCCGTTATACTTGATCCTCTTAATCCATTTGATCCGCTTAACGCTTTCTGCGCGCACACAGCAATTTGTCATTTGGCGTCGCGTAGGTGAAAAGGAATTTTTTATGGTTAAGCAAATTCACTGTACGCGGCGCCAAATGACATATCAGTAACGCGCGTTGAGAAGCAGATCAAGCGGATCAAGAGGATCAAACATGGCGGGTGCCTTAAGTAATCGTCTCTGCTCAGTTTTCTGCTTTTGGAAATGTAGCGATGAAACTAACATCGATCAAAGAGAAGCCTGAAAATTGGAGAAAGCGCGGATGTTCGAACACGTAGATATGGCGTTCACGCAACACTTCTGTCATATTTGTATAGGATATGAGGGAATGGGCAATTTACCAATCAGACATCAGACACTACCGTAAAAAACCAAAGTTGTTGTTAGCTATTAATCAGTCGCTCAGCAAATCCTCCACCCAAAAATTTCTTGCTTACCTTAGATTATCCAATGCGCTGTTCCCGAGATTACATTTTGAATAGTGCTAGAATGGCGAAAGAGGATTCCTCTAGGCGTTTCATTTTAAATACAGACGAAACAATTCTTACCAAGTTTAAAGACACACAGAGTCGTTGCGGGACTCTTGTGGTTACAATGCTACGGCATGCGGCCGTCGGGTGGATCAAAATGGTTGCAGGGACCGGTCTGAGGGCAAATTTTTCAGCAGGAAAAGCATGATCTGCGATTGCATTTGCTCTGTTTTCAAAGTTGGAGGAAGAGGAGCCCACCACATTGAAATCTGAAAAGTTCAGGTTATCGAGCCATCACCTTCAAAACCTAAACTGGAATTAATCACTTTCAATGTACATAAGCTGATATGCGATAAGGACGGTTCTACGGTCCTTGCACAAGGTCGCGAGCTCGGGGTACTCGACCCCTAGTCAGTTGCGCCTTCCTGCGTCTCCACGCTGGGCCCACTATTTTTTTCTTTGCCTTTTAAGTGACGACGTTTACGACGTGCTCGTCCTTTGCGCGCGAGGACAAGCACGTCCTGCAGTCATGACGTCCCACGATTTCGCCGCGCGGCTGTGATAAGAGACGAAACGCGGCAGAAACGACACGTGCTGGGTACGTGCGATGTTTCGAACGTCGCGACCCTCACGACGGGGGGATTACTACGGGCCCTGGTTTTGTAAACGTTTGAACTGACAAATCATCAAGATTGCATAATTCAAACGATTCAAATCGCAGAGGGTAGGCAAACCGGAAAATGCGCTTCGCTAACTTTTTTTCCGCTACGCTTTGAGTCTGAAGAAACGTCATAACTTTTTGCAGCCCATTTATTGACTTCTTTCTCGCTTGCGTACATTTACCTCCGGCAGTTGTTTGAGGAGGAACATGAACGAAAATGTCATATACACTTGCACATCATCAATTTTTTCATAATGCATAAAATTTGCGGAGCAACACTTTTCGTTGCAGCTCAATGCATGTAATATGTAATACCATAAAAGAAACAACGATTGTAACTAAGCGTTACCACAATATTCTGAGAGACAAACCGAAGAGATGCTTCGATTAAAAATTTAGTATTGTTGAATATTCTATACGAAATCCACTAATAGTGATATCAACTCTTTTCTCACATTGATAATAGTACAAGCAATACCCGATGGCGTTTGCAGTTGTCTTCATCTTCGATGCATGGTATGATGTCCGTTTCTGGCTCAGCTGGAGCTATAGCGGAGGAGGCGGTAATGAATGTCAAAACCGTCGCTGCGTGCAATGGACAAGAGCATATGGTTAAGGTTTGGTGTAGCACACAAATCTGCCTTTTTTTCAAATAATCTACATTTTTTAGAAGTACGCGGAACAGCTGAGGCGCGGCTTGCGCTATGCTATAAAGTATAGCTTCATTAATGGGTTTTTTGAAGGATTCATGTTTTTTCAGCTATATATATTTTATGCAGCTGCATTCCTGTAAGTACTGCTTTTTGGTAACATGATAGGACAATCAAAATTTACTATTTCAAAAACTACACTTCGAGAGCAAAAACGCTCAACGAAGACTCCAAAGCACTCTTGAATCAATGCCCCTTGCAAATTACAGGTATGGCATTCCGAGCTATTACTATGGCATAACACCCGAACCTGGAACTATATTTATTACATCATCTGCTATATTAATGGGTAAACTAAGCACGAGTTTGATATGAAATAGCAAAAGACATTTAGGGGCCTATTTTTTCGGCTTGCTCGGTCCCCATATGATGGCTATTATGAAGGCCAGAATTGCAGCAGCAGTCATTTACGAAACTATTGACATGGTACATCTAGCTTGAGCTAGCTCTACCAAATAGCAAGTATTCGTTTTAGACACAACACATTGCTGCGGACATTGGTGAAGATATAAAATTATGCGTTGGTAAAATTGAATTCAATGACGTACATTTCAAATATCCCACAAGGTTAATGAAATTCTCGTCGAGAACTCTCACCAAAAAATTAATTTAAGGGAGACTCCTATATTGAAAGGTATTAGCTGGTATGCTGACCCTGGCGAAACCATTGCCTTTGTTGGGAAAAGTGGTTGCGGAAAAAGCACTAGCGTTAGTTACATTCAACTACTCTCTCGCAACTTTCCACTCAATAATTATAGATAGGGCTGCTAACAAGACTGTATGACTGCAACAGTGGAACTATGACACTGGATGGACATGACATCAAATCACTCAAACTGACACATTTGAGAAAGGTAGACTTTGCAAGTATTTTACTGTTAGAACTTTATAAAGAGCCGATCCACAGGTGATTGGTATTGTACAACAAGAACCATGCCTTTTCAACGGTACGATTCGCGAGAATATTGTGCTTGGTCGAGATATTAGCAATGCAAAGATGGAAGAGGCAGCGCGTATAGCCAATGCCCATGACTTCATAACAAAATTGGATAAGGTAATCTCTCTCTTTTTTAGGATTTTGAAAGCAAAGACATTAGTTTATACGAGGAATCTTCAAAAATCCGACATGAATGCCTATGCAAGCTACAAGTCACATTCACAGTCAATTACTCTGTAGTTAATTAGTAAATGCCGTATCCCGGACTTAACCTGACCCTACTTAAGAGCCCCAAAGCATTTGATGGGTGATTCACTTTGCCATGACTAAGCGCGTGATTATGCGAAGCAACCACGAAAAAATTCTTTCTCAAAACCAAATTTTTTTGAGTAGCAGAGCTATTCACAATTGCTATATCTTGTAAAAAATGGCCAGTAGACCAGTCTTTGCCTTACAGTAAAAGAGAGTAACATCTACTTCAACATAACTTACAGGGCTATGATACAATCATTGGAACAGGAGGTATTGCTTTATCAGGAGGACAAAAACAACGTTTGGCTATTGCTAGAGCAATAGCAGCCGAACCGAAGATTCTACTTCTTGATGAAGCAACTAGTGCTTTAGATTCTGAGAGCGAAAAGATAGTGCAGGCAAGTATTTCTCAACACAGGGTGATGTGCCTCCTAATTTGCTGCCTGCAGTTGGCTTTGAATCGTGCATCAATAGGAAGAACAACTATCGTCATAGCACATCGTTTGAGCACATTGAAGGATGTGCAAAGGATATATGTAATAGAAGACGGTCGTATCGCAGAAGTAGGTTAGCATTAGTGACGTAAAAACCATATGGCTGAATATATCTTTACAACATATTTTTGTACATGCACTTTAGGCACCCATTTCGAGCTGCTTGACAAAAATGGTCTCTACAGTAATTTAGCAAAAGCTCAAGAAGTTGGTGTTGAGATAGATGGAAGAAAGAAGAAGATCTCCGAGAGCTACGACTCTCATGCACAGTAGGTCAATTGTCGCCTGCCACTTAGTCATATACTACACTCTTAAGCGAAATCATGCCTATGGTGCGTGAAGATCTAAGAGGAAGTATAATGACACGTCGTTCTATTTCCTCGATCGCATCACAGCCGGTCGAGTACATGAAAAGGAAGCCAGAAGCTTTAAAAGTACGCTCATGAAAATTTGATATTTAAACATAGAAATATATTAAGCCCAAGAGAGGAGGTGGGATTTTTCGAATTTACCTCTCAAGCTTACGCTCACGTCCTGTTTTCTGGGTTTGTCTTATTGGAAGCGTTTTGAGAGGTCTGGAAATGCCATTTTGTGCGTTTTTCAATGGATTCACTTATCACGCTTTGGACCAGACAATCGTAGGTAACTCAACCAAAGACCTTCAGCAATACAACATATTAAGGACACTTTTGCACCGTTTTTATGGCTAGCCATAGGCTTGTTTATTTTTCTGGCAGTATATTCATGGATATTTCTGATGATATCCGTAAGCATTCTACTTTTTTTACATTGTGAACCCTGCTATACAAATCTTTCATTTAGATAGGATTTGGTGGTTGGTCTAGTGCAAGCTTCAGCTCGGACATGAGAATTGCTGTGCTGAGAAGTCTTCTAAGTCAGAAAGCGGAATTCTTTGACCAGCCTCAATATAGCAATGCAGCATGCGTTTCCGAACTTGCTTCAAAGCCACCTGAGGTTCAAGGGGTATGTTTAGTAAAGTTCTAATGCTGACAATATACTCTACTTATGAAAGAGACCGCGGAAAGAAGGGTTGTAAACTTCACAGACATACAAACAAAATCGTTCTACGATAATGAGACAATTAGCAAGGCCTGGGCTTTGTAGGAGACACCTAAGTCTAATGGAATTCTAAGCCCGTAAACCACAACTGAAGAAGTTTACTGCCACAACACTGAGCCTTTTTGGTTGCTTGCTGTATATGATCTATGTGGACCACTTACGACTGCTCGATTATCTCACAAAGTAATGTAAAAAATACATTTCAGTGCCTCGATTACCGTTTCATGCTGATGGTTAATAATCTGTGCGCTGTATTTGTGTGCGTAGTACTTTCAATTGTGACTTGCTGGCCTAGCGGGATAGCCATGAGCGTTCTAATAACATTGTTTACGATAAGCATGTGGATTACCAGCAATAGGATATCTGCAAATATGCTAAGGAAGTCAGAGCTTGATAAAACACCAGAGGTACGTACAATCAGTGATAACACTACGATCGTAAAGGAACTGTAGCTGAAGCACGAATAAGGAGCTTTGCAGCTTTCTATAGAAGTCTTCGAGCATACGCGAACAATTCAGCTGCTTGCCGTTGAATCATATTTCATGGCAAAGTTTGCGAACTATCAAGAAAAGGTCAAAGGAAAGGAGAAGAAAGTAGGTAACGATGAAGAGCAAGATATCGGTCGAAATGGCAGGTTTCAGATAGCAATATATCAAGGCATACAGTTTGCCTTGACACAGTGCTACATCTATTTTTCGGATATGGTCACTTATGCAATTGGTGCCACCATGATATATCACGGATACACGGATGCGAAACAAACTGTAGTGTAAGTCATTTCTTTGTAATTTTCGGTCTTGAAAGAAAGTCTAGATGTTTTGGAGTGAACTTCAAGGCAAAGCCTTGGCCAATTTTTAGTGTCATCCATGCTCACATAATGCACCTGATTGTGCTGTGGAAAGACTGTTTCAAAACTTAGAAACTTTACATTGAAACAAAATAGATCAAATCTATGACTCGCTTATAAATTTTGACTAAAATGCGTATTTACTCGATTACTTGCGTCAGCAATGATGTGTATCAATCAAGTTTCAAAAAAAACTGTTTTAAAATTTCGTTGCAGATCTGCCACTAGTGCAAACTTTGCTGGTTGGGCCGTAATTTTTGCATCGGCAACTTTTGGAGATTTTGTACGAGCTCATTTTGCTGCGCAGTCACTGTACAGCATAATGGACAACTGTGATAAAGTCAAAGGAGGAGAAACACCGGTAATTGTTTTATTTCCAGTTTTCAAACAGTTTCAGATCTTATCATCGAAATCCATAATGGAACCTATTTTAGAGTCAGCGTTTTTTTCAGAAGCTTGAAGGATTAGTAAAACTTGAAAAAGTCAATTTCAGCTATCCATCTCGACCAGATGTAAAGGTCAGTGGTACACAAAAATGATACCTTACCGCTAAAAGAACTTTTCAGGTTGCGCGGAATTTGAATCTAATTGCTCGAACTGGTCAAGCAATAGCTCTAGTCGGAGCTTCAGGATGTGGAAAAAGCACAGTGATTCAACTGCTAGAACGATTTTATGAACCAGATAGTGGTGACATTGTAAGCGAAGTTTTCAAAGCAGACATTCTTATTTGTATTATGAGCGTCTATAGAAACTCGATGGATATCAACTGAATCAAGTCTGTAGAGTTCATCTCCGAAACAATATTGCTCTTGTTGGACAGGAGCCAATTCTTTTTAGAGGTATGTCATCATAAGTTTTATAGAAGCATGATAAAGTAATACAAACATACTATAAGTGAATTTCATCCTCATTCACCGGCTTAGCTCCAACATACTGGGTATCCATGAAGATTTAGCGTCATTTAGAGCTAGCCATTGCTAAGAATTTTTGTAAAGTTTATATTTGAAACTATGGATTCTACAATAAAATGTATCAGTATCAGAAATTTTCCCAGAATATACCGTTCACAGGCTCCATAATCGAGAATGTTACTTTGGGATTGGAGAACATCAGCATTACGGAAGTACAGGAAGCGTGCAGGCAAGCCAATGCTGCAAATTTCATCGAGTGCTTCCCAGAGGTACTAGAATTTGACTCAGCAAAATCCTTAGTATTTCAAACCTATTGCAGGGTTATGAAACCGATGTGGGAGAAAAAGGTGGAAATTTGTCAGGCGGGCAAAAACAACGAATAGCTATTGCTAGAGCTTTAATCCGTAAACCTAAGATAATTCTGTTGGACGAAGCCACTAGCGCTTTGGATACAGAAAGCGAAAAAGTGAGGATCGATTGATTGATTTTTCATGTTGTCACGGATAGCACAGTAATGATTTGTAGGTAGTCCAAGCAGCCCTAAATGAAGCTAGCCATGGCAGAACTTCTATTACAATTGCGCATCGTTTGAGCACAGTCAAGGATGCTGACAGGTAGAGCTGGTTGTTAGTAATTGCACCGCAAGTGACAATCAATGAAGCAGCAACGGTATCACCAAATAAGGTCGCTATCACAAATACATCATTCAAAAAACCATCTGGCCAAACCACAGCAAAACGCAAATTAACATCCTATCAAGAGTTGAAATAAAACTGAATTTTAGAATTTACTACATTGAGAACGGCAGTGTCGTCGAATATGGAACTCACGAAGAACTTATCGAAGCAGATGGGAAATATGCACGCTTGGTGAAAGCACAACAACTAGCGAAAGCTGATCAATAACGGTGGAAGATTCCAGTAAATCTCTTTGAGTAGCATTTGAGATGGAGTTGTATTTCATGTAAATGAAAGTGTTGATAATGTTTGGCAGCTGACAGCATATCAATAGGGCTGGTCATTGACAAGCAACTCATACCCTTCCCGACCAATCGAAAAATTGCTTAACACGTTTCGGACCGCGAAATCGCGCGCGGCGAAGAGGGTACTTTCAGCCGTTAGCCAACAAAGGGACCTTAATTCGTAGATTGTGTGCTACATCTGTAATCAGCATGTCAAATAAGGTCCATACCCAGAGTTATGAGTGAATTCGAAGTGTTTGAATTTTGTCCTTTGAGAAGAACTTCCGTGCTTTCTTGGAAGGGAACAAGAACTCAGTTTCTAATTGTATCCAAAAGTATCTATGTTGTACACGATACACATCATTATTGGAACTACGGTTTTTCTCTTTGTATTCAAAGCCAAGAAAAGTTGCGACGTCGCACGCGTCGTTCGCGTTGCCGCACTTCGTTGCAAATGATATTCAATTTGTCCTCATATCTCCTGAACAAATATTGATAGCACAACTCCACAGACCCTTTCGGAAAGGAGGAGTTTAAGCCTTTGATTTGATAACTTTGGACAAAAAGAAAACCTCCTGTAAACGTTGAAAAGGTTCTTCAAAGGCGCGTGCTGCACCATGTGCAGCACCGGTCCGAAACGTGTTAACATCCAAGGCTACCCAGCGTCCCTGGATCCACCCGCCTTAAACTGTTAGTTGTCCGCGTCGTGAACGGAATGCGATTTTCGGCGGGAAGAATATGCTTATTTTCGTTTTTCCCAACGGGTAATTTATTTGCTTCACAGTCTACTAACTTGTCTGGCCTTTCACCACTTGAAGCATTATCGCACCGGGTTGCGCGCTTCTATATATCAACATAGCTTCATCTCGGCAGAGTCTGGCCTTTTTGGCACCCTTCCTGATGCAAAATGGAAATGAATTGCGGTTGATAAGAGTTTGTTCAGATAGAAAACTGCTAAAAATCAAATCGATAGAATAGTAGCCAGGCGCCGCAAAAAATAGCTTACACTAGTGGTAGAGAAGCGCTCAAAGAGCACGCTCGCGCAAAAGGTACAGAGCTCAGGCGAGGAGCCGCGCGAATCTTATCAGGATCCGTCACTCCCAATGATACAGAATGGTCCTCGACTCGACGTATTGCCATTCGCAACGGTAGAGAGGGATCGCATCGCTTTGCAAAGACTTGGTGGCCGCGGTCAACATTTGAACATCAAGGACTAAGAGTTATTTAACACATTTGCGACAATACGACCCACCGGTGGGTCGTACGTGTTCTGCCGTCTCGAACAATGCGACCCACCTGTGGGTCGTATGCTTTTTGGAGTTTTTGATTTTGCTAGTTTACGATGGAATTTTTGGACAAGTCCAGTCATCCATGTGCACCACTTGGAATACTTTCCAAAAGATTAAAACTCAAGGCCACAGGACCCACCACTCCAGAAAATATTACGCAAACTCATTATTGCGAAATATGCTCTGGTCCGAAAAGACAGTCATCGAAAAATCGGCCTTGTCGTGAATGTGTTAAACAAGTGTGCAAGAGTGGCAGCAGAAAAGAAACGACATAAAACGCTCATCTTGCCATCTTTCCCCATATCCATGTATACAGAGTTATTTAACCCTTTCGGACCTCGTGGCAATTTTTTGCGGCAGTACAGCTTGTCTCTGAATTGATGGTGGCAATTGCCACCATCAATTCAGAGACAAGCTGTACTGCCGCAAAAAAATCATTTCACTACTCATAGCTATAGAACGCTTCATATAGCCTTTGTCTTCCAAATGTTGTTTGAAACCGTGTTCATTCGTTTTTCTGCCTGCAAAATATAAATTTCTGTAAACAAGTGAATTGCAACCATTCAATACTTCGCGCCAGCTTCAGCGCCGTTTCAGGATCTCGTTTATTAGCCAAAAATAATCATAATATTATCAGAAAGTCCGAGAACAATGTTGAGAAAGTGTAACTGCTGATTGTTTGCGGGTCCACATGTGTCGAGAGAGATTTGAAAATCGAAAGCGCAAAACCAAAAAAATTGAAAAATCACAAAGAAATAGTTAATGTGGTTGAAAAGAATTCAAACCCCGTCGTGAGGTTATTCATGTGGTATTAAGTATGAAACAGTGGGAGTGAGGCTTCTCTGCTTGCTCGGAAAAAGTCAGGTCCGAAAGATTCAATCTAGTCGCGTAGTTGATCGTTGTGACTAAGTTTAGGGATGACGACGTTAACCAGGCGCTTCAGCGTGACTATGGGAGCTGACATCCAATCCATATATGTGAATCAAAGGTGTGCCCGAAGTTCGCCTTTTCGCCGACATGGTGCCACCAAACAAGTAGTGTCAGAAAAAAGATGTTGAGAAAAAATTGTAACGATTCTCCCTTTTCAGAGGCAGTTTCTGGGTACAGATTTGGTTAAAATATTTTGCTTGCTTAGGCTTACCCTTCCGGCTGATTCCGAAAATGCAGCTGAGCGCGAAAGATAATTTCGAGAAGAGGCGGGCTACTCCAGGACGAGTCGGCAAGTTCAGACGCAGAGTCGTTGTAGGACCCGATGTTTTGACTTTGTGCCCTATGCGCACTATGGCTGCAGTATGACTGGTTGCAGGTGGGCACGTCGACGCCGCCCTTCGGAGGCGTACGTCATAGTTTCTGAAGCAGTTTTCTGAAGTAAATTGCTGCAAAGGGGCATTGCTGGGCAAGTACTTTGTCAGGATAGGAACCATAGCAGCCTATGTTTTTCTGGTTACCATCATATCTGCCCGGACGCTGTCTTCAGCATACAGAGTGTCCTAAAAAGATGTGCACACTGTTCAATCGTTAATAACTCTCTTGCTTTCATGTCTTTTGGCGAGCTTGAGGTACCATTCTGTAGAGCGAAACTTAGATTTACAGTATGGAGCGAGTCACCAGTCGTTCTTCATCACTGTAAGATTACGGTAGGAACTTTCAGCATGCAGCGTCACTGTGGAATAGGCCTGAGATAATTTCAAAAAAATTTCAAAATTTGTGTAGCAAGGTTTTCAGGCGTGCTGATTTCACTAATAACTTTTCTCCAGTTTTTCAAACTTTTTTGATGGTGTATTCACATTTCTGACGAACACTGAAAAAACGGTTGTAACGGTAAATCTGTAATAACTTATGAAAGAAGCACACTATACTGGAGTGCAGATTTCATTTTAGAATCAGCGACTACGATTAGTCCAGATCAAGTTCTGGTTTGTTTGGCGTTGTTTTTGAGGCAAAATACCTGTTTCAATGGCTTAGTATCCTCCTCGAAGTTCCTACCGTAATCCTACAGTGACGAAAAGCGATTGATAATTCGATCCATACCATAAATCTAAGTTCATCCTCGCTCCCCAGAACGGTACCTCAATCCTGGCAAAAGACATGGAAGCGAGAGATTTATTGACGATCAAACGGTGTGCACTTCTTTTTGGAACACCCTGTAGATTGCATGATGAGTGCTTTTCTTTTTCAAAATTCCAGTTTCTCGTATTAAACATTTCTTTATGTTCAGAATCAACTGTTAGTATTCGAACCCCAAGCTTTGTCCGGTCTGCTTGCTGCGACCGCAGATTTACTATAAACCGCGATTTTCCCTTTGATGTTTTTTTCCATTGTCCGCTCAACGTTCATTGTAGAGTGCGCCTCTTCGCCTCCGAAATCTCACATACTACTTTTGGCAAACCTCTATTCATCATTTCTGGAGCCATTATCAAATCATTCCCATTTGAACAATTAGAACAGAGATAATGTAAGTTGAGCATCTAGCCTTGCCAATGACATCCCCTAAACCCAAGCTCGTTTTCTCGTTTTCTTTATGATGTAAGAGAAAATTACACATTGATTATTAATTTGTTCATTTTATTTATTTTATAATATAAATTAGTTCAGTCACATCCACAAATGTACAGGCAGAAACAACAATTAACGAGAGCTACGTATCGCTGAGATGAACCGGTCTCGTCTTTCGTCGATAAGGCACTGGGTTTAAAATACTCTCTATATGAGGTGAAGATCGGGTAATGAGGTGCAATTACTGTCATTCAGTCGGATAATATCTAAACCGTCTTGGCCTTATGGCTGTATGGCTTGGTTTGGTCAACCTAAACAAGTTTTATCACTCAAAGCCCATAAGGAAGTAACTGTCTACCCACCTGATTGTTGTTACTATCATCGTAGTTAGCTCCACCTTCATCAGTACCTTCCTCAACCTCTTCTTCAACATAAGTTTCAGGAGCTGGAGTGTAGCCTCCTATCTGAGGAGAAGAAGTTCGTGCCGGAGGCACATAAGGTGTAGGCTGGGTTGCTGGCGGCTGTACTGGAGGTAGAGGCTGATATGGTGCTGGTGTTTGAACTGGAGGCTGGTATGGCGCTGGTGTTTCCACAGGTTGCCTGTCGTAAGTTTGGGCAGGTGGGACATAAGGTGCTGGAGTCTGGACTGGTGGCACATAGGGAGCTGGAGTCTGGACTGGTGGCACATAGGGAGCTGGAGTTTGGACTGGTGGCACATAGGGAGCTGGAGTCTGAACCGGTGGCACATATGGTGCGGGAGTCTGGACTGGAGGCACATATGGTGCTGGAGTCTGCGCTGGTGGCACGTATGGAGGTGGAGCCGGCTGTGGAGGTGCAATAGGTTGTTCAGGCTCATTCACTGGCTCTTCAACCTCTTCATATTCGTATTCTGTTCCTTCAGCGGTCTCTAGGGTTTCTTGACCCTGATCAACAAGCGCAGGTGGAGGCCCTTGGTCGACCGGTGCAGGTGGGGGAGGTGGGGGCCCCTGGTCTACAGGCGCAGGTGGGGGAGGTGGGGGCCCTTGATCAACGGGCGTAGGTGCAACCTGAATGTCATTAGTGTTGCCGGTGTTGACGTATGTGCCTGAAGGGCTTGGAGCTACGAATGGAGCAGGTTCTTCTGGTGCAGCTTCTTGTGGAGCAGGTTCCTGTGGAGCGGGTTGTTGTGAAATTTGCTCTTGAGGAGCTTGTTCTTGTGGAGCTTGTTCCTGAGGAGCTTGTTCTTGCGGAGCTTGTTCTAGTGGAGCAGATTCTGGCGATGTAAATTGCTGAGGCTCAGGTTGTGGAGCAGGCTGGACCAAGGTGGGTCCTACGTTCGCCGTCTGTTGATAACTTCCTCCTCCCTAGGATCAAATCTCTGTTAGCTCCACAGAGTCCTGCTTGATGTAAAACCTTACCTGCTGCTCAACAGCTTGTCCAATCTGTTGTGCTTCACCGACAGCTTGATCACCGCCTCCAGTGACCTCGCCTATCTGACCATCAACTTGTTGGCCCTGATTGTACGTTCCGCCAGGTGCAGGTCCCTGATCGAAACCAGGGGCAGGTCCTTGATCAAAACCAGGAGCAGGTGCGCCCTGACCATAGCTACTTCCACCTTGAACACCAATGTCGGAGTACTGGCCACCGCCTTGTGTAGGGCCTGGGATCTGAAAGCAATAACACTCACATACTTCTAAAAATTAGGAGAACTCTTGCTACTTACCTGTGGAGCAGCACCACCATAACCACCACCAACGGGACCAGAATAGCCGCCTCCGCCACCTCCAATGGGACCAGAATAACCTCCACCACCACCAATAGGGGCAGAGTAGCCTCCTCCACCACCACCACTGTAAGAAGATCCTCCATACGAAGCTGGAGGAGGTGGGGGAGCGGCTGCGTAACCAGCTGGAGCTCTAGGGTAGGACGCAGCTGGTGCAGCATACCTAAAATTGTTGATACCGTACAAAGCTAGAATTTAGTCCAATTTTCTTGTCCGATAAAAACGTCGGTAGCACCCTTAGGCTATTGCAAACGTCTTAAGACATGAATTGGTCATAAAAGTGTAGCTGAACAAAGCCGCTTCGTATCGAAAATGGCGCGCAACGCAACAAAGTCGACCCACCTGGCCGCGCGCGCGATCCTCATAACCTGACCACGCACGAGCGCAATGTCCAGTTTTTCTGAGCGCTCGAACAAGCTTACACGGTGTCAATTTGCCCTTGATCTTTCCGATCACCGGCTTGGGTAATGAGTTTCTTAGCGCAGATGTTGCTGGGAATCGCCAAAGCTCGTCCAGCGATGAAAGAAGATGTTTCTCGGCGGAGGATTGACCGTAGTTGGAACTAATCCAGCTAACAATGACCTAGAGCGCGCTCTTTTTGAAGAAGGCGTGAATGCTAAGTGCTCTTCTTGATGTTGCGCGACTCACTTTAGAAGATTGAAGATGTTTCGTCACCTATGCGCATTAGTCTTGAGAAGTGACGCTAATAAACAGAATAAAACGATAAGATTTCAAAGCTTTTGAGATTCTAGTTTTTGGTAAGCAAGCAGGCTAATTAGCTTATAACAGGTGCAAAATACTATATAAGGATACTATGAGTGCATGATATTCTTTTTTGTCCTTATTTGCTAGATAATTCTTTTGACAATTCGACAAAAGCGAAGAGTAAAAAAATAGCTTGATTAACACATTGGCGACAACGTGACCCACATAGTGGGTCATACAATTCTGCCACATGGGACAATGTGACCTACATGGTGGGTCATGGCTCAAATATTGTTGAAAAGACTGCCATTTGGAGTACATTCGTTTCAGAAATTCTCTTTCTTTCTAGCGCCAGAAATTGTTCCTCTTTCCCTGCTCCATAGATTTACTGTAGATATACTGTAGGTGACGATCTGCGTGATTTTAGCTAAAAATTTTCAACTAATCCTTGAAATTCATTGTCCCAAGAGGCAGTCGACTAAAAAGGCACGTTATCGATATGTTAAGGGAAAAAGTCAGCAAAACTGTAATCACTTTTGCTCGGTCGTTAGGAATTATAAGAAGTAAGCTAATGGTACTGTGATAAGAACAATGTCTACAGCAGAGCTGAGAAAGAAATTCAGTGAAGTAGAGAATGAGGAAACATATTTGAGAAAAAGCTGGAGAGTAATAAAAATTAAGAGGTTTTTTGGATTTAATTATTTTTCTAACTTTTTCTCGAAAGCTAACGTTCTATGGAAGTTCACTAAAACTCACGAAGAACCATAAGAAGAACCTCCACCACAGGATGATCCTCCTCCTCCACAAGCCGGAGCAGCGGCTACAGGAGCAGCCGCAGGGCAAGGTGGAGCCCCACAGGCTGGCTGACTAGGTGGGCAACATTGTTGTCCTCCTCCTCCTCCACCAATACAGCAGTACGCCGGCGCTATCAGTAGCGAAAATATTAGTAACTAAAAATAATCGAAATTTCAAAAAGTAGATCAAAAAACGGAAGTAGATTAGCCGAAAAATCTTGAGCATACCCTCGTCATCGAGTCCTCTGTTGGTGGGTAGCAGTGATATGCTGAAAACACGATCTTCTACGAAGCTTAAGTATGGTGACGATGGGCGGAGCCCCTGGTGATCGACGCAACTCTCTGGGCCGAAATGCAGGAAAATGCGTTAAGCCGAATCGGAATCACGACATATAGATAGAGATTCACCGGACAGATACGACGACAGTTTAGACATGGTTAGCCGACGTAAGACGACAAGAAAACGAGTTCAATGAGTGGATATGGGGCCCCTGCGAATTGATATGTGAGAGCAGTTCGCAGGTGAAAGCCGATGAGGTGAGGTGCAGCCAGTGGCGATTAACATCTGCAGAAACATGATTTCCCTCTTTGATGTGATCTGCATTAGATTCAGCACCTTTTCGAGAGTCTAAAAATGGCATTACGGTTATAGGACTACGACTGCTCCTAAAGAAGTTGTCTCTTGCAATCTCTGCAAGTGGTCAGCTTTCAGGAACATTCTTCTATTTCCAAGCTCTATTAAGACTGCCGTGAAACACTCCAATGTCTCCATCTTACTGCTTCCATAGTAGCCAGGTTTTTCCCGTACTGGCACTATACCCAGGGCTCGGCACAGGTAGCTTGTAAGCAAGTGAATATTGCTTTTGGGACAAAAAACGAAGGGGTATCGTTTTTGAGGCCAAAAAGATACAAACTGCGAGTTTTTTAGTCGACGTTTCGTTTTTGAGGGTTTTTTTTACGTCCAGGTTTAGGTTTAAAGAGAACTTCGAAAAAATTCGCAAAAGTCAAGAGATGCTTCGTTTTTTGCATTTTCCAAAAGCCACCTCGTGCCGGGCCCTGACTGTACCTCCTCATTCTTCATGGTTATTCGAAAAGCTAACTTCTTGTTTTTTTGCTTGCTGAGACAAATTAGGTACGTAGGTTAATTAGTGTGATTGTAAGGATTGAAAATCATAATTAACGTTAAAGAAAAACCATTACTATCGTCTCCTCAGCAAATTTTGAATGGCAAAAAACGTAATGAATATGCCATGATTTGCTTAACTCTGTATACTTTATATAAAAATAGGTGCTATAGCACTTGTTTTGAAAAATTTACCACTTTGAGAACTCTCACATTCTTTATTTTATCGAGTACAACAGGAAGAGCTCAGCTTTACTTCAAAGCATCTATACTTTTGGATCCACCATTTTCAAAACTTGGTGCTTTCATTCCCGAACTAGATATATGTAAGACGTTTATCTTAAGCCAAAGCGTATAAAAATTAGTAGAGTGAATAGAGCCAGATGAGAGGGGGGGGGGGAGAGCGAAAAGTACAATATTGAGTTCTACAAGATCCTCATTTCAAAGAAGTCCAAGTTCTTCTGATGAGGCTGAGGCTTCAAATATTGGAAAAAGTGAAGCATGCTTGTACCTGCAGCTTCAAGTCAAAATCTTCAAAATTTGACAAGGTTAGTTGAGCAACCATAAAGAATATTCAATTCCTCCCCCCCCCCCCTCGCATAGGTATAGGCAAACCACTCCTACAGCAAATAGTTCATCCACGTATAAAGACAGCCGTAAGTTTCTTTGTAGGCGTTTGCCATTTTCAAAATTTTTTTCATGGAGAAAGTGAAGTTAATTGCAGATGCGTTCACTGAAGACCGGAACCCGCTTGAAATTGCCTCATTTAGCATGACAATGCGTCTCTTACAGCTGGTTCAATTTCTTGGCGGCGACGATTTCGCTGAGAGTGAAGACTGCCCATTCAGTCGAAGTGATCTTAGGCTCAAGTTTCATGAGAAAAGTGTAAAAAATACAAAAGTTGTAATTCAAACAAATTTTTGAGCAGCACTGAAATAAAAACGTTTTGCCCAAACAAAAACTATCAACCGATTATAAATAATTTTTTGTATTCTTCTTTTTCTCAGAAAGCTTTTCTAAGATTTTACTATTTGGCTATTTAGTAACGAAAGAATAAATAATCGATCCAAAGTTAAATTAGATCAAAATGGCGTAAGGATATCAAATGCCTGAGCCGGAGAATAATTCTTCAAACGCTCCTATGGAAAAGCAGGACTAGTCATAAAACATCGACATGGGACGGAAGAATAAATAATCGATACAGAGTTAAATTGGACCAAAAATGCCACTTGCTGTTAGCATTATTTTTGAGATTCAGCATTTTCGGTTTCTGTGAGAGACGTTCAGCCGATTAAAAATTACAATTACACACGGAATTGCTTTTTAATTTTTACATTTTCATCGGAACGTAACATAAGGAAGGATGTATCTTGGTCTTAGAAACTGGATGGCATGAATTCGCTCGAAGAATGCTAAATATGCTGACCGCTCTTGTAGTTGCTAAAAAAGGTGACATATGGTTGAATAACTTCAGAAGAATAATGCAAGACGGGCTTACATCTTCGCATTTTTGAGCGATTATCTCGAGGTGCAGGATTATGAACTGGATTCGCTTGGGGATCAAGTCAAGCGAGAATTCATATGTTGCTTACTTTCCAGTAAGCTTTTGAGTCAGAGCAGTAATTCGAGGTCACCAAACTTGTTTAGGACCTAAAGTAATAAAGCTGTATTTATTCTAAAAGCCACAAATGTGTTTTGCTTGCATAAGGCAAGAAGCGTTTTAGTATGTATCGCAATTTTTTTGAATTCTGTTTATTACTCTCATCCCTACTTACTGCTCAATTTTTTTTAATTAATCGAAACGCAGACTTTAGTCATTTTTGAGATTCATGACTCCGTCAACCCAGACTTAGTTCAATCCCATTAACAACTACAGGTACGACCTTTGAGAGGGAGATAAGGTTAGGTTACCAGTACAAGAATATGATATGTTAATCTTTTACAGGACAATTACACAAAGTGTACATACTAGTGTCATAAAAGTGCAAGGATTTACACCTGAAAACGTCGCCAGTCGTTATGTTACCGTGCAGTTTACTATAGGTCGCAAGTCGTTATGTCAACAATGCAGTTTACTATAGAATTTTACATGAAGATGATTGAGACCAAAAACAGATAAGATGTGAAGTTTTTTTTTGGAGTAAGTGATGTCAAGGCGAAGATTCGACTCTCGTCCTTAAATAGCTACCTCCGTGATTTGGGAGAATTAGCGCACTTTGACAGGTTGCCCACTTGAACTTTTTCAGCATTTTTGCCTATGAAGTATGCTTTCTGAGCATCTACCACGGGATAGTGAAGAGAATCCTTTGTTTTCTAACCTTTGTTCAAATCCTTTCCATTGTAACCGCCCTAGAAAGGCCACTCTATGTCGAGCACGGCTAAAATCTGACGCACGTAGTGTTAAGATCGCATTACGTCGTTGTGGTACTACAGTATGATAATAAGTGATATTGACCAGATCAAGCGAACTGATCATCAATAAGCGCTTTCGCTTTACAATTTTACGTTTGTACCCTATGCAAACGTCTATGTAAGATTGTAGTTGATTTGCAGTAGTATGGCTGTCTTGTCAGTATTCAGTAGCGCAAAAGCACTTTCCTGAATTCAAGACCAAAAAGGAAGTATATAAGCAACATCGTAATCGTTCTTCGCTGCATCTCATTAGCAGATTCATCAAGTTTTACACCCAGCGCATCAGTGACATATAATTTTTTAGAGGTCTTTCTACATCGTAAATGTTGCAGGTCTTAACTTTTCCCTTGCTGACGACAAATGACTGGCAGTCACTACTGTATGCGCCTTTAAAACATATAATGATATTTTTTCATCGTTATCGAGAACTGATTTTCTATGCCAGCGTTATTCGTAAAAATATGAGGTCTTGTAAATTTGGAACAAAAATCTTGATACACATTGGAAAATCTAGCAATAACAACAATCCAAATTTGATTGTTTCTTCCTTGAGATCACTATGAGTTGCCCTATCAGGTTGTTTCCCAACGAACTGTCACCTTTAGCAAAAGCGAGATTTACGAAGCAGTCAAGAACCGGTCATGCTTACAGTTATCTTGTAGCAATTGTACCTGTAGAGCATTTTGGACTAAAGATTTTCTGGATTTGAAAGAAAACAATTTTGGACAAACTAAGATTGGGAAGGGGATCCTCAAACATGTACAAATAACAAAAATTGAAGCCCTTTGAAAGAAATACTATAAATAAGTGTAAATGTTCATACAATTATTGCGTAAAATATTGCTATCATGTTCTCTGCATTTATCCATGGATGAAATAGTGTTTCGATTTCGATCCGATCAGCGAAACTTGCTGGATTATAAACATGCTGTGACGCAAGACGACCGCAACGGAAAATGCTGCTGGGGAAGCTAGCATACCTTGTGAAGTTTAGATATTTTGAATTTTGACGAATAATATATCTAAAATACAGAGCGTGTAAGTGCTAAATTTGATAATCGCAGTAAAAGACCCCATAAGACGGTAAGACTTAGACTCTTTGTGATAGTATGGGCCTAAGGACGCAATAGATCACATCCACATCATAATCCTGTAATAATGTTCCCAATTCAAGTGTCTAAAGTATGATGAAATCATTTATGGAATATTTTGAGCAACAGCTTATTGAGAGCGCATTATCTTTGTACTAGAAATGCCGTCAAACTTCTGCAAACCACAACTATTAGGTTGATGCAAAAGAAATGGCCGATTTTCCAAGCCTTTTTTCAGGGCAACTTTTTTCCATCAATACTTCTTCTTTACAAAGGATGTAGTATATTGTCGCAAAGCTGTTTTCATGCTCTATCTAAGGTGCTTGAAACGGGCTCTCATCTTCATTTCTTATAAAGTTACTAAGCTGTAAATAACTGCATCCAAATTCAGAATTTCTTTGCACTCACTTTTCCGGCCAGAATTCAAGCGCGTATCAATGGGATTTCTTCAAAAATTTAGCTATTGTATGTAATAGAAATTTTCTACATTATGCATACTTAACTGCATTCTTCAAAGCTATCCAGACTGAGATATCGGAGCCTAAAAATGGGTAGCTGTTGCGGTTATTTTATGACCCATAATTTTCTTTTGAGGAAGTCAGTCGCCAAAGCTTTGCTCAATTCTGTAAGCGTAGAGCTAGGACATTTATTAGCAGTTTTTGCAAAAACATTCAGCTGTTCAGTACGAAGAAAATCAGAAAATTCTATATTCCGAACCTTGAGGCACACTGAAAAAATGTTGAAAAAACTGAGAAATTTTAAATTTCAATTTTTTCTTTCTCGCGAACTTTTTTCTTTGAATTCTTTCTAATTTGTTTTGTACTACTGACTTGCGGCTACAAGATAGGCCACTTTTCATTAATACTAAGAAATTCTGAAGGAAGTTATGAATTGTCAAAAACAAGGTTCCCTCAGAAGAACCTTTTTTGTCTTTTAGTCCGTATTTCTCTTCCCGTTCATGGTTTGAGTATAACTAAGTATGCGCTGTATTGCGAAAGGATTGCTGCTTCTGGAGGTCTTTATCGCATTCAGAAATGTGGATCTTTCAGAAAGTTATAGCACATCAAAGTGAGAATTCGCAAATCGGCCATTCCTTTTGCATCAACCTAATACTTTGCCTTGAAACATAAATTCGTACTTCCTTACATAAATGGTTTTTTATTGAGTAACCCTGTCTTTGCGTAGAACTATCCAATCAATTCGTAATCAAACTGTGATTAACCGAATAGCTCGAAAAATGGCAAAGTATAGCTCTAACTTTATGGCATAAGATTCACTCTTTTGCACACATTGCTTGGAAAAGTGGCAACATTTTGAAACGAATTGTTCAGTTCCGCCGCGTTTATGTTAATTCGAGCATTGCAAATACTCTTTGCAAAAACTTGCGAAAATTCTTAATAAACCTTGAAATTCCAACTGTTCGCTTAAATATGCATGCTAAGATAGAATCTTCTAAACAAGGCCACAAGATTCAGGTGAAGCCTCCGTCGAGTCATCTTATGTTCCTCAAAATACATATTATAGCCATGAGGGCAATATGAATACAAACTTCTTCTCAGAATTTCGTGTACAATCTATCATAAAAAATTGACCGCAAAAATTTGAGCCTCTATTCAAAATCGTTAATCTCTCCGAGTATTATTACAAGTAGCTGAAAACCGATACAACATGCTGGAGGCCGTGAAGTTTCTATCAATTCAGTTCAGTAAGGATCTGCGAGAAGCTGGAACACATTTACAATACGAGATTTCAATCTTCATGGTTGGTGTAAGTACCAATGTGTCATCCTTGTTGATCTACTTGGCATTGGACTAGGTTCCACGTGCTACGAGAACCAGTAACCAGTTCTTCTCTCCATCACCCCCCTTCCCGTTCCTACTTTCCATTTGAAACTGTTTCCCATCACTGAATCACAAAAGCACTGATGACTCATTGTGTGGAAGTCTTCTACCGCATGTTAGCTGGTTTACGTGCTTCGGCTAGGTTAGCCCGCTATATCTTTTATCTCGGCGAAGATTTACGTAAACCCGCTTGTGCCTGGCCGCTTGCATCACGCGCACAATGCCAGTTACGCAACAAACGTCAAATATAGGGAATACGAGGTGTTGATGTGGCTTTTATGGGATTGATATCAATCAAAATGCGAAATCCCACCTCTGATCATTCTCACTGAGATCATGTTCACACAACGGGTAGGGAGTAAGAACAGATCTGGAAATATTTACTAGAAATTCACAGCATCAAATCTAACTTACAGAAACAATGAGATTTTTGCACTACAACACGTCAATTGACATTCTAACAAAAAGTATGACAGCACAGACATTAGCGGAAAAATCTACCGAACGCATGCTACTTATGGCGAATTGCTTGCTGAGCGATGAGGTCCAGCTCAGATGTATTACTAAAGGTGCGGAGCAAAAAATCAATAAATACTTAAATAAACATAAAGGTGACATCCCTATTCGATCTGATAATTAACAACGATATTTACATATAAAGGTTGAGTGGCAACAGTATATCACATGGCTGATTGGCAATAACTACATGAAGTGATTAGACCCGTCTGTAGTCTCGTTGCAGTTCTTCCATAAGATCTATAGCTGCTTTATGATGAAGTCCGGCTACCTAGAAACACAAAGTTTTACTCAGCACGGATTTGGTTGTAAAAAAATAGCTTGAAAATTAGGTGCAAAGCATGCAAAGAAAAATTCAATATGTTATTTCTATAAATGCCTTAGGGCTCGGCACCAGCTAGAACCAGGGAAATTTTGAAACGAAGCTTTGACTCCACTTTACCAGTGCTGAAGCCACCCCAAAATAAATCGTGAACCCCTCTTTTACCGCTTATAACAAAAAATCTGAAAATTTTCGGTACTTTTCCGTTATCCGGACCCATTTTTTCAAAAAGCTCTTATAAAATACGTTCGGTAGTCTAAGTACAAATTCTCATAGATTCTACGAGGACTGCCTGCCTGCGACGTGTCAGGAAAAAATTGACACGTTCTAGTCCACTTTGACACGTTTTTTCGAAATCATTTTCGGTGAGGTAAAAGAGCATTTGTAACCACTTAGAAGCTCTCCATCTGATTTACATAAGAGCAAAACAATCTAGAACCATTACTAGAATATCTTGATTGCTTCTAGCGATAATTCAAGAATGTTTTTCTCTTCAAACTTTCCGCCATGCGAGCTTAGCCAGAAAAGTCTACAAATGATCGCTTGAAGTAGTACCTCGCTGCTGCTTTTCGCCGCTTAGGTGGTTGAACCCTAGCGCACTTCTCTATTCCGGGCACGTCTAGTATGTTCATTGATAAGAGGGCGACGTGATTATTATAACAATGTCATTATTGAAATTGTTCAATCGAAAATAGGGTCATTATTGACCACAAAAGGTTGAGCATATGTCGCTAAGTAGGGCAGCGCGAACTCTTGGTAAAACTTGTTAAACATGTAGGTGGCATGTCAAATTTTTTTGACACGTGGCAGAACGTTGGCACTCTTTCCTATGAAGTTGGGAACAAATATGGTGCAGGGAAAGAAGCAGTATCCTTCTTTGCAAAAATGGGTCCGGATAACGGAAAAGTACCAAATTTTCTTTTCCACATCATGCGCTAAATTTTCACTCCATGGTCAGAGTTCAAAACCTACCAAACCAAAATTGTCCCGTCGCTCCCTTTCTTATTCACTTTCCACTTCTTTCCCCTTCCTCTCTCTATCCATCCATTTCCGCTCTCCCTCGCGCTGAGAACGATAACAGTGTACAACAAGAAAGGATATAAAAAATATAGGGAATAGAAAGGGCGTAACAATACAGAACTTGGTATAGGGGGTGTGTTTTGCGAGTGGAGCAGATGCCGCCGCCTATAAAATTTTAGAGCTATGAAAGCCTAGAAGAAAGACTAAGAAACTGTTTTGTTGCTTATATGGAAGCTTTAATGCTATTCAAAAAACCTTGAAAAATTATGTAGCAAATAGTCGGTTGCAGCTCAGCTAGAACTCAGTTGGAACAGTTTCAGCTATTTAAGAAAAAAGCACGGCTTTCATCCACATAAGACTCCATGAAATTCTGGACTATCTCCAAAACCCAATACGCGCATACGTGCAACAAATCTGGGCCGATAGTAATCCCTGCACATGGTGGCAGGTCTCGCAGGCAGGTCGTCGGTATCTTGTGAGGTCGCCAGAAACTAAGAATTCACATTTCAGCCATCTAAAGCTTTTTTACAAGAAGAATTCTGGATAAAGATGCCAGCTTCAAGGAATACTTCAATATTTGAGATTGAAAAAATTTCCCTATAGAAGAATATTGAGAGGGGCATGACGTGCTGTTGGCAACTTTGCGAGCTAACCTGCTGGCATCTGGCTGGAATTTGCGAGGTGAAAGCGTCGGCAGGTCGGAAAGCACGGGGAATATTGCGCTCTTTCGAGAGAGCAAGGTGCCGACATCTCGACGTGGTAGGAACACGTCGAAATGCTGTCACCTTATGGCGGCATCTGTAGATTTGGGTAACGCGGCAATATCACACGATTTAAGTCAAGCCAGAAAAAGCAAAAAGTTTCACTTTCCATTAGAATATCACTTTTTCATTACATAAGTTTCCTTTGTTTGAATCGTTGATACTCTCATGAAAAAAGTCTATGATATTTGGAACCTTAAGGAACACCATGTTTTTTCGCAATCTCTTCTAGGTCACGTTTGCAACGATTCCGCCTCTCCCTCTTTATCAATCAGCTATTCTTTCAGGTCAAAATCTTTTGCGCAATGTATCGATCATGCCCTTTTGCAGGATGCCACTTACCAGTGCGTTTCTGCTATTGCTGATGCAAACAACAATTATTGACCGAATCGTCGGGTGGTCGGCGCGGTGACACACATGCAAGTTCGAACGCGCGCCATGCCACCGTTTTGCGACTGTCTGCGTCTTCAAAATTTCATGTGCATAGTAATTGCTAATTGAGATTATATAATTGGAATTTGCGATTAATCCGCAAGCTTTCAAGGAATCGACAACTTTCCGCAATGGTGCCTATATGCCGGCGTCTATGATGCAATCAGGGTACACTACCGGCCCTAGTGTCGTACCATTGCATTTTCATTGTAAACAGCGCATTTTTTGTTTGGAGTGCACACGACGCCCCCATGATGGCGGCATATCAGGAACAGCTGCTGGCGATTCTCTCTCTCTCTCCCCCCTCCACAAAAACGGTATTCATTGCTTTATCCCCGGCAGCGATGACCAGCTTGAACGGGTCCCAGCTGTGTTGAGCCCTGAACTGGCTACACTTCACCATAACATAATCAGTCAGAGCTCAAATTACGTAGTCGTTCTGATGTAATCAAAGAAACTCTCTAATGCATCCAAGTAGAAAAAAAACAGATTCAAAGTTTTGTTACGCAGAATCATCGAAATATTTTGCATAAACAGCCCTAGCCGATTGATTACCTTTTTTGCCCTGTTATAGGTTTCCTCCGTCTCTGTTGTGGTTTCGACTTTATCTATATTGGCTATCTGTCGTGTGCTGCTCATCACACCCTAGAACCCGTACCATTTTACATTAAATTCCAATTGAAACTGTTGCCTAAAAAGAACTGCTTTGCTAATGAAATCTGTCACCTGGCTCTCTTCTTCAATTGGTTGTCCATAGTCGAGGGCATTCTGGGTGTCTTCCTGGTAGTAGAGTTAGTAAAGGTTAGTCGTTGTTATTTTTTAATTATATTTTTTGGAGGAGAAATCAGTTCAGGGATTGGTGAATAATGATGAGTAAGGGTGAAGGTAATTAGACTATGCATATACTAGGTTAGCAATTAGCCTAATCTGTAAAATCAGTCATATTGATTATGCTTGGGCTGGTGTGTTATCTAACAACATGAAAACTTGTATTACCTGTGATGCTGCTGCTGCAACCTTGTGCATTGGATTATTGGTTGCCAAAAATGTCTGAAATTTATCGAACATCAAACAAATGGGAAAAGTGGGCCAGTGTTGTAAAACACAATTTCCGCAGTCGGTGGTACTTTGAGATAACAACCTTTTGGAAGTTCAAACGAGTTTTCTCTCCAGTCCTGACAAGTCTCAAAATGAGACATTGTCAGAACTGGAAAGAAAACATTTGAAAAACATTTGATACACGACGGGATAATGTCTCAAGTACGCCGATAAATTTTTTACGAATAGCATATTAAATTACGCTACAAAAACCAGCGGGATTTCATATAGTTGAAGCAGCTTCGAATAGTGACATTGTACCTGTCCCTTTTTATCCGAACCGTCGTCTAGTGCCTGAACGCGGATCAGCTGGCTAGGCTGGGATGAGATTAAGACAGCCTGAAAAAGCTTTTGTAAAATTGATTACTTGTCTGCAAAGCATATAGTGATCATTTTCCCTCAAAATGAAGGTGTGGAACTTGACACAGGCACGTGTCCGTTCAAACTTCATTAGAGACGAACTGCTCCACTCTTGTCAAGCATCTTAAGCAAAAAATAGTGTACCCAGCGCAAATGCAGAGACTAAGAGTCAAGCACTTAAACTCATTCGCATTGGCATGGACCTAAGTACAGAAGACTACTAGCCCAAATGCGCACCAAATACTGTTATCCAATATTTAGCGCAATGGGCAAATGCTGAGCTAATAAGGAAAGCGTGTCTGGTCGAAGTGGCCTTTTCAGATGAAACCATCTGTTTAGAGAGTATGCACGGTGATTCCGAACTGCCTTCGTTATCTGCCATGCGCCTCTAACTTATTGGCGTTGTTCGGGTCAATTGAACGCAAAACTGGAAGAAAATCACTTAAGTTTGCTCAAATGGTCCGGTGTCGAGTATAAGAGCAGTTTATGCAATGGATACATTTTGCCTAAGGCTCCCGCCAGAGTGCCGAAGTTATGCCAGCGCTACGCCAGCATTTCGATCGACACACATGTATTTCGTTGGGGACGTCCCCTATATTCTGCATTCATTTTAGTTCCAAAAAACGATCATAACTCGGTGTCCAGAAGCGCTTGCAGATAATTAAAGCGGATTTGGAGCCACCGTGCAATACTCTCCAAAACAGTACGGGTCTTATCTGAAAAGGTCACTTTGACTAAACACGCTTCCCTTGTAAGTTTTCCTTCAGTAATTCGCTTCGGAGAGTAGCTAAGGTGAGTTCGATTTAATGACTTTTTGTTTTGATCGGCTGCTGTTGCGCCAGCAGTTTTTATCTTTAATTATTATGGCGCAACCATGCTCTCTGATCTTTTCTGCGCTTCTTCACTTACATTTCTCATATCTCATGTTATCTTTCTGTCTTAAGTTTGATGATTTGCTGTCACGAGTTGTGCCGCAGCTGTTTTTCTTAACCCAAAACTATTCGCGTTTATTGCTCATGGAATGACACATACAGTCGGATCATTTCATATGATCATGTGTGTCACTGCACACAGTGTCCACCTTTGGCGTCATAATCTTGGATCTTAGGAACAGAGAGCCCTTCTGCTAAGTGTTTCCGTGTTTTCTTCATACTTTTTCTTCTTTTTGAGTGCCACTCTTCACAAAGTAATGTAAGCGACAACAATCGGTCGGTCTCTTGCGTTTTTGCCATTTTGCAATTCCAGGATGAGGATGCAATAGGTGGACAGTGGGTGCATCGACACACATGATCATATAAAATCATTCGACTGTACTTGCACATTACAGCAGTTCTTGTGCGATACACGTACTTAGCTTTGTCCTGTCACGATAGCAAATTCCTTGCGCGGCCAAATCTGGACAACCCAAGGCCCAAATGTATGGTTCATTCTAAAAACCGTAACAACGAGTTGACTGCGGACTTTGCGCACGCAGGAGCATAAAACACCCATATTAACAGGCATCAACTTAACGTTCAGAACAGTGACTTCCAGTGTCTAAGTACTAACACATGTAAGCAGAAAAACCACCCTAGTAGAGATAGAAACCAAAAAATGGAAGTGCGTGCGTGTCGCGCGCGGTCGCGCCTCGTCACGATTTTTCGAATGCCCAATACATTATATACGCAGCAGAATTTGGGCGGTGGTGCCTATGCTTAGTCATCCCACTTCCGTAATACCCTGTATATTGCAGCGCTAATCATGTGTATGATCAGTCCCCAATCGTATAGAGGCAGATTGCGGACTTTTCTTGATAGCGTGAATAACTTATTGAATTCACATTTGAGCATTGCTTTTTGGAGCCGTGCGAAGATTTTAGAATGTAAAATGGAAGCTCTTTACTTGGTTCTCGCCTCCTCCATTTCGGTTCACTGTTTGAATGAATCCACCGCTTCCAACGGTACCGGAAAAACCCTAAGCATACACTCATTGAAAAATTGTATATGAAAAGTTTATGGGCTTATACCTGAGGTATACCACTGATCACATTATCGCCCACTGTTTCTACTCGAATTAACTGCGCTGGCTGAGCAGTCGCCACGAATGTCTGAAACTTCTTCCAGTTACAGCTACCGAATAGATTCTCTGTCTCATTGAGTAATACTAAACCTTTCTAGCAAGAATCCGTTAGTTTAAAAATAATTGAAGAGCTGCTATATAAGCAAGTTGTTTCTAATGTCACCAAAATCTTGCATAACTTGTGTCAAATGGTAGCATTTTAGATTGACGTTAATGTTCTGAGGTTGGGGCAGATAATGCGGCCTACGCAGGCACGCGACATAATTTGGAAACGTAGCGATTACGTTGTGTACTCTCCCTAACTCACTTTTAGTGTTTTAGCTTACCTGAGGTCCAAGTTCAATGCCACCTTGTGCTAGTGCTTGAACGAGGCGACCGGGCTGAGGTGTTACAAATACCTTAACAACTCTTAGAGATGAGTGTAAATGCAACACAAAGTACTCTGGTAGCGCCTTCTACGTAAATTTTCATAAACTCGCTTCTACACCAGTCATAAATGCCGCAGGAAATTGCCTTTCATCTTGAAAACTTTTGATAGCATTTGTCCTCAGAATAACATCAATTTTGCTCCAATTATAATGTAACCGCTGAGAGAGCAGACACGGCTACATATAATACTTAGCACAAGTTATTACACATTCAGTATTGAAAGCATTGGAAACTACACAGATTGCAGATTGATTAGTTGTTGTGTTATTAACAGCTCAAGACGCAAAGCAGACTTTTTGCCTCTTATCATAACATAAATATCAAATAATTTGCGTAACATACGCTCATAATAGGTCAGGTTTACAGTGATGTGATGGCAGTGAATTTGGAAGCTATTTTATTAATCGAATAACTCCTACATGCATGTTAGATTATAGTAGGTTAATGAACAAGGTGAGAGCGCGTGATATAGCTAGGACAAAAATTCGTTGACCTTGTTGATGCGGAAACATCCTTTGATAGATTTGATAGAGGAAGAGGAACGAACTTCGTCGCCAGTTTGAGCCCGCCTCCATTTGCAACTGGTCCTTTTGCAGCATTGCTGCCTGTCGTTGCAGGACCAGAGTCCGCGGAGGCGGTAACTGGCAGAGTTCGTTCCGCTATCCATTTGATAGTACACTTTCAGGTCATTCTCAGGAGTTTCAGTCTTTGGAAACAAACCTCGAAAAATCAAGCCCTTTTCACATAACATAACGCCTTGCTACGTTCTAATAACAATATCTGTAGTTCGTATGACAATATTAGTTAACTGCCAACTCCAGAATTTCTCCTCCCTTGACATCTAGAATTTTTTTTCAAACAAACACCCAATGGCAGGATTAGTGTTGAATGCAATATGATTTGCTGCATTGCCAGGGTCGAGTAAGAAGTGTGGCACACAACCGCGGAATACGACCCCTCCTCCCAAATTCTGTTCCTCCTTCCCCCCTCCCCTCCTCCCCACATTAACGTTTGCCTATCTTGTTATAATATCGAGGCTCTATCAAGCATTAGTAACAAACTCGTAATCAGCACGTCAACTAACCTCTGTGGGCCAAGTTTTAGCGAATTTTCTCAACATTGAACCATTCAAGCGAAATGGTCATTTTCACCATGTTCAACTGTGTTATGAAGGTGAAGCCATTTTTCTGTATTTAACACTGCTCCTTCTTTGTCCACTGAAGAAATTTTACTTCAAATAACCTCATTACGGAGAAGGAGCCAGCCAAAATCTCATTCGTTCCATTTTTCGCATTCAGTGGTCCTGCTTTCGGCAATTATCAGACAAATAAAAGAGAATGAATCATTCTCAAATTACTCTCGCCAAAAGTACGAGATTTAAACTATCGAACTGTTCTGTTCCCTAAAATTCTCTTCGAAGGTAAGCCAATGGGATGTGGCACAACCCAGATAAAGTGTGGCTGTCACACCTTTTTAGGGGTTGTGCCACACCCCGTTCACTTACCTTCAATTTAAAGATCGGCGTTTTTCTATCGTTGCCACTCCTGGACTGCATTTCTACACAGTGAGATATTCATTCAAAATCATTTCCCCTAGGGAAAGATGTAGTGGTCCTTCCAACCTATGCAAATGGAATTTATTTTGAAAACATCTTTTCTGCGCCACCCGTGAGCCGCCAGGGCAGGCAGCAAGGATATATGTATTCGATAGCATAGACCTCGCATTCTTCACTAGAGTGATTGTGGCCTGGTTGGCCTTCTCTACTTTGAGTCGGAAGGGAAAATAGCACAAACGGGATTTTGACTTGCTCTTAATTCCATAATTTTGCTTTTATTTAAAGTGGGATTTCCAAATTGGGCAAGGAAGTAGTAGCACTTTATTAGGTGCACAAAGAAATAACCAACTCGCCTTCAAAGCAAAATTGATCATCGAAAATGACTTTGCCTGGGTGGCTCAATATTCAGAAACCTTATGAATAGTCTGTAGGGGCTATTTGGCATGCTTATCACGAAAATGATGCTCCAGTACTTTTAAGGTTTCTTTGTTGTACAGTGTACGTGACGATGTAGGTCAATACCTCAGTGTGCTTGTATCCTGCATAATGGACTTGTCCGACATTTTAACTGTTATCATGTTGTCGATAGGTAACACCTCAATAACGATCCCTCCCCCTCACTTCAACTGTTATCATGTTGTCGTTAGGTAACTCGATAAGTCCTTCCTCTCACCTTGCCCCTCGATACGACCCCCCCCCCCTCAGGTGTGGCGTGCCACACACCTCACGCTTGACCTTGGATATGGCCATTAATATAATTCATTTCGTGATTATAGTCCACTACAAACTTTTTGGACTTTCAAACTTTTCCATGGTGTCAAACACTTGCGTTGCGGACTTTTATCACTTAACACTCAGCTTTGGTGTTTGGCACATCTAACAGTACGGTCTACAGAAATTTCACTCAGAATATGTAGCTTGAGAGTGGGCTAGTCTGAAAGATTGCTTCGAGGCCAACATGCCAAAACCATGGTTGGTCGTAAGAAAATATGAAAAGCCGAAACGCTGGATCAATATTAATCGAGTGAATACCATTAGGTTGGCGCAAAAGTAATGACCGTTTTTCCAAGTCAACTTTTTTTTACATCAAACTTAATTCCTTGACAAGCATTTAGCATATCTTCAAAAAGATCTTTTCATGCTCTATCTACTAGCGCTTGAACAAACTTCTACCCTCATTTCTTGAAAATATACTAAGCATAACATAACACACAGCCGCATTCAAAACCGGAATTTCATTGCATTTACTTTTCTGGCCAGAACTCATGTGCAAATGTTGACATTCATTCGAAAATTCACTGCATGAGACAGAAAATATATACATTACATATGCTCAATTAAATTTTGTGAAATCATTTAGTCTGATTTATCGACACCTCAACATGGGTAAACGTTGCGTTCATTCTGTGGTCCATGGATATTTATCAAAGAAAGCAATTGTGAAACATTTTTTTTGTGTAAGCGTAAGGGTAGGGACCCCTTTCCGAAAGTTCCTTGCAAAAATGTTTAGGTGTTCATTGCGCAAGAAACCAAAAATTCCATATTCGGGACTTTGAGGCGCATGAAAAGATATTGAAAAAAGGTGACAATTTTGCTTTTGATTTTTTTTGCAAATCTTATTGAGTCCATCTATTGAGTCGGTCCAAAAGTTCTGTGTTTTCAATCCATCGGCAAACACGCTGGAATGAAGATAAACAAACTCTTCAAAATGTATCCAATGCAGAATTTTTTCCTCTTTCCAGTGCTAAACTCTCATTGTGTTTCGCTGTGAGAATATAGATATTAGATAGAGGAGATATTTGCTGGAAACTACAACCACTAGTTTTTACCATCTCAGACTCTCGCTAATTTTCAAAATTTTTGTATGATATTCTCGGAGGAGCCTAACTAGCAGATAGGGGAAACAAAAAACGGACAGAAGCATTTTTTTTGTAGCCCTGCTTGTCTTTCAGAATTTCTACTATTTATTTTTTGAAGTGACCAAATTTCACATTCAGCTTTTAACCTCGTAGAACATAAAATGTTAAACACTTCAGTCACCATTCGATGCAACTTTTTCTCCTCCTTCTAACACTTTCTTTTTTTGCCGAGACAGGTATCGAATTTGTCGCAAAAATCGCAATATTTCTCAATTTCAGGAGTGCGCACCGACGTAACCTATGTTTCAAGATCTTCATAATTTGAAGCGAAAATCACTCTTACTTTGTAATGGTAGCAGTAGTAATAATCATGTGTTGAGATCTGATTTTCTGTAGGTTTTGCAGCGTTTGGTGCAATAACACGTTATGCGATTTTTCCAAAACACAAGACTTCCAGAAAATTACTTATTGTTAGCAAAAATCTGAAAAAGCAGCTGAAAAAAGAAAAAATTGCGTAATATGGCAAAAGGCCCTATCTGCTGGATATTAGGGCTCCTCCGAAAGTCTCGTACAAAAATTTTGAAAATTATCGAAAGTTGGACATGGTAAAAACGAGTGGTCGTAGTTTCCAGCAAATATCTCGTCACTCTCGCGAAGCACAATGGGAGTTTAGCAGCTGGAAAGAGGAAGAAATTCTGCATTGGATACATATTGAAGCGTTTGTTTATCTTCATTCTAGCGTGTTTGCCGATGGATTGAAATTAACTGACAAAACTTTCGAACCGACCTAATATAATTGTCCAGAAAAAATTTTTGGCGCTTCTCAACATTTTCGCGGTCCACAACCCCAAAATTGTGAAAAAAAAGGGGGGGCGTGGATGATGCCACGCCCCGAAAAATTTGTTTCATAAGGCTAAAATGAATTTTTAAAAATTTTAAAAAATTGTTTTAATTATTTACGAGTGCAGACAAGTCATTTGCAAAATTTTATAACTCATGTAAGTAACTTTCAAAAATAGCTTATATTACAAACTCTAGACGGAGTTATGATTTGTCAAAACAAGGTTTTACAGGAAAGCTTTTTTAATTTCAATCCATATTTTTCTACCCGTCTACGTTAGTCCAAGTGCGTTGTAAGTACTTTATATCATTGGAAAATGTCGATTTTCCGAAAGTTACAGTACGTCCAAGGTTTGGCACCAACCTAATACTTATCAAGCATGTTTGGCACGAAGTAATTGAATTCATAGAAATGTTCAGATTCTTGCATGTATAAAAAATAAACGAAAACAAAAAATTTAATTTATATACAAGACGAGATTTATAACTGAAAAATCGTGTTCACCTTCTTTGAGGTCATTGAGCCTCCTCATCATACCAATGGTTATTATACCAAAGCCAGTAGTCCACCTTATAAACTACCGGTTTGCTTTCAAGAATTATGTTAAGTTTCGCTGGTCCCATCTTTTCCATGGAGTTCATTGCCTACATCTATTAGGTCATTTCATAGGTTCGTAGAGTCTTTATTCTTTCCTCGTTCTTTAAGGAGCAGTCGATTTGCGGCAGGACGCGCATATCATCAAGAAGACTGAACACGCTTTTATAAATAATTTGTCGCGTTTGCTAACGCGCTGCATCGTTTTTTCCACTTCCGAAGATGGAAGCTGTAAAAGCCAAAAAGAAGCATTTTTGACACCCGCGCATTTTTCCTTAAATAAAAATCCTTTCGCATAGATCTTTCTGCCGATTGTGGAAACTAGCGTTTGCTCAACAATTATGAGATGAAAAAATCGCATTGCTTTAAAATAGCCGGAGCTAAACAAAGTGTTTCCCTTTGAGTGGAACGGGCAAGAACTCTGGCACTGAAAATTGCTAGATAAGAAGGAAACGGTCAATCATAGCTTGTGCGACTCAACTGCACCGTCTAAATGGGAGTACACTGCAGGAAAGGCCCAATAGATAGGTACAGCGGGTTTTTCTGCACAACAAGATGTGGCTCCGTACGGCAAACCGTCGAAACTGTCTTGCAAGATTTGACCGGCAGGTCCTTATTATTAAATGCGCTGAGATATCGCTTTGTTAGATTTATTTCTGCCCCGGACTATCGCATATTGTGTGGGCGGCATTTGCTTCGATCCCGAAGACGATTTCAAGCGCCTGGTTACACAACTTTTTTGGGACCATACTCCTTGAGCTTTTGCGAATCTAACTGAAAATATGATGGTAAACTGGCAGAAGGTGCACAACAATGCGGGTTGTGCAGGGTTGTGCGTACATTGCTGACTAATTTTTGACAAAATTTTGTCATTTCTTTAGCTTATGAAAACTCTACGAATTTAAGAAACGACCTAATATATTAGCTTATATACAACCTCCGATGTAAGCCGGTTCCTGTAGTTTTTATACTAATCTTACTGGGATTACACCAAACTGATAGTATTTTCGCTCACAATCCTTCTTCATTTTAGTGCATTATCATTATTAACTTCTCGTTTTACTTGTTTTAGGAGCATATAGATGAAAAATGACACATGGAAGTTTAGATTGAACTTCAATCTAAGATTTTTCAAATTATTCCAATCAAAAACTTCAATACGGCTCGCGACAAACAGAATAATTGAGGCTAAATATACCTGTGGAGCGACATCTAACAAGCTTGGACCTAGACCTTGAGCTCCGACTAATTGCACAGACTGGACAGGCAACAAGAATGTCTGAAATTTTCTCAAACTTTCTCAATCTTTATCCTTCAGCTTTATTTCTCTGTGAAGAATTTACCAATTTATATATTGCAAAGCTTGTAAACGTGTTTATTATCTTTTTGACGCGTCTGAAACGTCGAGAATGCCGCATTGTTCAATATTAGTGATCTTTTTCAGCACATGTAGTATACAAAATATCGAATCGGTTCTATCATTTTACTTTAATGCATGCATATATCACTAAAACGCTCGAGAAACATGTGAACTCTTCATGCATTGATATACAAAGATGAAAATTGATGTTTCTCGACATTGATGCACGTTGAAAGATTTGCGAGTGTGTAAGTTTTTCTAAGCTTACTGTATTGTATGACTATCTCACCTGACTAGTCAATGCTAACTTTGTATTTGCTAGATGAGGATGATCAAAGGGATATTCTCATTTTTTGGAAAAAGAATATTCTCTAAATCTACATGATAAAGTGCAAAGAGATTTACCTATATGCAGCAGCGAGACGAGCAAAGAGAGACATGTAACATGGGAAGAAAAATTTCTTCCATCACTTCTGATTATGTGATGGCTCGTCAATTAAGAGCGAGCACATATGCAAATTCAGCAAATTTGAACAAGATCCAAAAACCTGGCTTGTTGTTCTATGCCATATCGAGCAGCAGTGAAAACTGATCCACTGTCTTTCCATCTCATAGAAAGCGTTAAGGTGTTAATCAATGATCGGAAAATTTCAAGACCCGAAGCTATTGAATCAACAAGAACTTCTCTCGACAAAAACTCACAAAAGATTTAGATCATAATTTGATTCGCCATCATAAGCTATGAATAGATTTTGTCCAGCCCAATAGCCTGATATCGCTACATAAATTTGCTAACTCAATTTCATTCCTGCCGTAGTAAGATAATAGAGGATGCGTACCTGAGGAATTTTTTGAGACAGTATGGAAGGTTTGAATGCCGGTGTTGTCTGAAAAATTGAGCACATCATAAGTTTACCTTACATATTGCTGTGATGCTCTTGTTGGACCCCTGTTAGTGACCTAAAATCTATATAATAAGCAATCCCAAGATGAAAGCATCTTAATATAGAATGGTCATTGTGCGAAATATTTTGAGCACACAGTATTTAACACGAAAGGAGCGTAATTTTATATGTGGCATAATGAGCTATTGTGCGAGATAGAATTTCCGTAAGTCTAAGGCTTGCTGGTTTGAGCATGTTCTCATATGCCGACACTATTGTTCTGCTTTGCATAGTTATTATCGTCGTCTATATCTTTCTGCTCTGCTTTCGTTCTTCTTCCTTTACTGTGACTTAGATCGGCAATGCTTGATTTTTGTGCAGCTAATCTCGTTGACGTAAGCTGCATTCTCTCAATCGGTTTCTAAGGAAAACGCATTATGTAGAAATCTAAGGTAAAAACATTCTTTTCGCATATTCTGTTTTCTGCGGATTGGGAATGGTTTCGAAGAAATATAATTAGAATCACAGTCTGTTCATCTGCTCGAGTTACTTACTTGACACTAGAAAATAACTTTACTATCTTTCCGTTCTTCAGACTTTGTAACTCTGCTCTAGAGCACAAAATCGTGTGAAGAAAGCCATGATCCAATTTTCAGTCAAAGTAGATTTAGCGTTTACAACTCCATGCAGGTATAAGCTTTGAGTGCCAAGTGAATGGAGTTGCCACAGTTAGGCTTAAGCACATCTTCGGTAGGCAATTAGCAGCACATTTGCAGCACGACAGACTTCCTTCTGGTCTTGGCAAATTTGCTAGATTATTATCAAACAGCGTATCAGCAAAGAAAGCATCCATCACGCAAAGAAGACCAAAGAGTTAATTACAAGTTAACCAATTCCATTGCTAAGACTCTGTTAATGTTTCAATCTGTTTTCTGTTAAGCGTCGTTTCAAATACATTGATGTTACAATATACACTTGTTAGTAGTATATAGCTTATTGCAATCGAGCGAGTTTTTCGAACAACTTTTCAAACTATCTTGACAACTCTGAGACGTTTTTATGAAGGGATGCAATCTGAGATTTTACAGAGCCTTTTGCATCTATGCTATCTCTTCGTCCAAGTTTACCCCAAAGGCGATGGAAATATGTATGTCATCTGCTACAATTTGGAGATAATCATGTTTTCATATCATTCAACTAACCCTTGTCGTCTCAAAGCGTTGGATAAGACCTGAAAAGGTCAATCGTGTAATTTGGGAGTTTACCAACTTTGCAACACTGGTCGCAGCTGTACCATGTAATACCTAGTTTGCTGTTCCATTCTCGAATCAAGTCAAAGTCCTTGCTTTAGCTACGAATAATCTGTCCATTATTGTTCCCGTTGTTAAATCCCAGAGTTAAATGAACATAAATCAATTATAACTGAGGAAGGCCATTAACCCAGGCCGATCATTCGTGTGTTATAATGGTAAGAACTGCTTTAGAAGCAAGATAGAAGAAGGACCTGCGGAGCTTTGCCAGAAAGTTCGTGCGGATTAGGTACGAATTGTTCTAGAGGTGTCTAAAAATGTTTAGTACCCTAGCAAGAAACGAATGTCGCACCTGGGAGAAACATTACGGAGAAAACCATTTTACCTGTTGGATTACTTCCATAGTGGGATTGATTCGATTGTTGAAGTCGTGTTTCATTGTTGTAAGCTCAAATAAGCAGACTGAATCATACTACAGCTCTGTATTACGATACCTGATCACCAAATCCGTGCGACTCGACGATGGGGTTAGAATTAGTCTGCGTCTGAGTACAATAGGTGGTTTGGAGTCTGATCAGAAATTCGTTGATACCTGATTAATATGTCCGTTTGATTGAACAATCGAATTGGACATGGTATTTGTCACTGTTGTCTAAAAGGGAAAAATGGACTTCGCTAAAGCTGGTAATCAAAATTATAACTTGATTAACAACGCCATTTTGCGTGATTTGATCAGTGTCTGTCTGTGTGGACGTCACCTAAAAAGGCGTATTTGAATGCGATGTCTAAACTATTAAGACACAGCACTTGTGAAATAGATCCGCTAGATTCGATGACTCGATTTGACCCAGCCTGACTCGTAGCCTAGAAAAAATCTTAGATGCATGACGAATTCAAACACAGAGATTCAAAAAAAGGTACCTGAATAGATCCGCCAGTTTGGACGACTCGATTCGTTCCAATTTCCGTTGTCGTCTAAATGACAAGTATTGATTCTAAGAGTCTACCTCAAACGCTTTTGCTAAGGATTCTAAGTGCGAGTCCGGATGGTATAGGCTTTTTCAAATGTGATATAATGATTGAGAATCTGACCTCCGGAGCAAAGCCATTGCCGTGTACTAGCGGATTTGTTTTGCCACCACTGGGCGGATTCTGAAAACCAACGTTGTTAATGAAAGAGTGCAAAAAGGTGTCACATAATTATAAATCCGAACTTGAGTCGTAAAGCCATTGCCTTGGATCACCGGGTTCGTCCTACCACCACTGGACGGATTCTGAAAACAAACGTTGTTAATGAAAGAATGCAAAAAGGTATCACATAATTACAAATCCGAACTTGGGTCGTAAAGCCATTGCCTTGGATCACCGGGTTCGTCCTACCACCACTGGACGGATTCTGAAAACATACGTTGTTAATCAAAGAGTGTAGAAAGGTGTCTAATTAAAAATCCGAACCTGGGTTGCAAAGCCGTTGCCTTGAATCACAGGGTTCGTCCTACTATCACCAGGCGGATTCTGAATAATAAATACGAAGTCAAATGAAAGAGTTCAAGAAGGTGCCACATAATTATAAATCCGAACTTGAGTCGTAAAGCCATTGCCTTGGATCACCGGGTTCGTCCTACCACCACTGGGCGGATTCTGAAAACAAACGTTGTTAATGAAAGAATGCAAAAAGGTGTCACATAATTACAAATCCGAACTTGGATCGTAAAGCCATTGCCTTGGATCACCGGGTTCGTCCTACCACCACTGGGCGGATTCTGAAAACAAACGTTGTTAATGAAAGAATGCAAAAAGGTATCACATAATTACAAATCCGAACTTGGGTCGTAAAGCCATTGCCTTGGATCACCGGGTTCGTCCTACCACCACTGGGCGGATTCTGAAAACATACGTTGTTAATGAAAGAGTGTAAAAAGATGTCTAATTAAAAATCCGAACCTGAGTTGTAAAGCCATTGCCTTGAATTACCGGGTTTGTCCTACCATTACTGGGCGGATTCTGAACAAAGGAAAGTGTGCAAAAAGGTGCCTCGTAGTCACAAATCCAAACCTTGGATGTAAAACCATTGCTTTGAATTACAGGATTTGTTCTACTATTACTGGACGGATTCTGAACAAACCAAAGAGTGCAAAAAGGTGCGGTGCCTCATGATCACAAGCCAAACCTGGGTTGTGAAACCATTGCCTTGGACTACAGGATTTGACCCGCTTCCGTCTAGTGTATTCTGTTGTAAGATACAATTAGAACGTGTGTGGAGCAACATAAGATAAAATGCTTCACATTCATGAGCAAAACTCAAACCTGTAAAGCAATTCCATTGCTTTGAATAATCGGATTTAGCCTGCTACTGCTCGGTGGATTCTGCATAAACATACATGGAAGACATGAAAACTTTCAATCAATTCTGAATATACCCAAGAAATCTGACCTGTGTGGTGAAGCCATTTCCTTGGATTACCGGATTTGGCCCCCTACTACTCAATGGAGTCTAAAAAAACAAATAGAAGACATAGGCACATGCTCCTTATAAGCCAGCAGAAAAGTGTATGAGGTAAAACCACTGCCCTGAATGACTAGATTTGAGTTATTACTGTTGTAAAGTCTGCAGAACGACATCACCTTGCACTCTGCGAGTGCAACGCCTGTAGGATCAAAATTTTTTTGATTATTTCGCCGAGGCCTAGAAAAGTTTTTTGATGTTTTCCAGATAATCTGAGGATGGCATGTATAGAATTCAGGTGTACGTCTAACAAAATTTCGGCTTGTGTCTGAAGCAGTTGACCATCGCCATTGGAGTAAAAAGTGACAGAGAAGTATGGACTGTGAAAAATTAGGAATAAAAAAACAGAAAAAAGATTTGATTCAAGTGAAAATTGCCGTAATTGTTGGCTTTGTTAAACTGCGGTCAAATAATTTGAGTAATAATACCAAAATTCTAGCGTACGCTAAGCGATAATCGTTCGTTAGCTTCTACAGTATAGTTTAGAAGAAAATTGGAAAGAGCCAGCAAAGATGAGGAGACCCCTGAAATTATTGTCAGCTTGGTGTATACGTAAATTCTCACCTGTGGGGCAAAGCCATTACCCTGAATTACCGGATTTGACCCGCTACTGCTTGATGATTTCTGAACAGAAACAAGTAGGAAAAATGTATCCAGTCATAATGAGAATTTGCTATTATAGGGAAATTGACCTGTGAGGTAATTCCACTGCCTTGGATGACTGTAATTGTCCTGCTAACGCTCGGTAAGTTCTGTAACAAATTGAATCAATAACGCAATGGAATGAGATTCTAATCCTGCCTGTGGAACGGTTCCATGTGATTGAATCACCGGATTTGTCTTCATGCTTGCGCCTTCAGTCTAGATAAGGAAGAGATGGCTGATGAAACTTCTGGTGGGTATAATTGGTTACCTGACTGATAAACCCATGTGACTCAACAATTTTACCAGAAATAGTCTTCATGATAGGAGCCTAGAATAAGCAACCGCAATGAATCTTCATATGTTACAAGCAAATATCACTTTTGGTATGAAGCCGTGAGATTGGATGATTCGACTGGGCATCACTTGTGTCATTGTCATCTAAAAATCGTAACGAAACCTTGCTCAGAACAATTGTTCATCTACCATAGGTTCGCGTACCTGCTCTATCACCTCAATGGAAGGGTTTGTCACGCCCAATCGAGGTGCTGGAGTTTGAACCTAAGGACAAAAAATTTCGAAATATATATAACTGGTTGAGCCAAATAAAAATTTACTGTTGTAAAATCAGTGCCAAAGCCATGCCCCTGAATGACCCGATTAGGCATAGGGTGCGACACTGTTGCCTGAATTATGTTTTTATTTGTTATGCATTCAACGCGAGATAAAGCAATATAACCAAATATTGTACTTTCCCCCTCCCATCCTCTTTTCGATGCTTGCTTGATCATTTCTCAGTTCAAGTAGTTTCAGCACATCAAATTCTATGACCAGTTTATCTCAGAGACAAAACGATGAATTTTCCAAATACAGAAAATACGAACATAGCAGAACGTCTTTGGGTAAAATAAAATAAGCTTAGGCAGCACTAAAAACAGCCCCTAACTTCAAAGATTCTCATTCATTACGAGCGAAAGACAGCGGAGAAGCAACGAGAATCACGGGAACCAGGGCTAGGACGCTAATGCGGTTAAGAAAAAAATGAGTGAATAAAGCCGTTGTAAAATGTGAAATTCTTGCTTGCATTTTGCAAGAGTAGGTACTAGTGTGTATCATATCCTTTTATCACATATTCAGTTTAATATTGTCATCATATCGTCATCTACGATGGAGAACCCGTTTTGAGCTGGAATTCCAGCGAGAGCAGTACAGCATCAGCCGTGGGATGACAAACTCATAATCTACGACGCATAAAACGTTGCCTCATATTTCTATTCTTAAAGGCAGCGTCCGGACAAAATTTCAAATGAAGTTTCTTTCGCTTACTTGGGCTTATCGTTCCCACTGATTTCGAAATTGGAGTATGAGAGCACGAAAATGTCGAAAACGGGCTATTTCAAAAGCCCTCTCGAACTTTGAGGGTAGAGTACTATATGTCGCCGAAGAAGGGCGGTCCTCGCGGTCATTTGCGACAAATATACACCTTTGTATATGTGCAGACATGGTTCCTGCAGGAAATCCGCGCAGGACTCCTCCACATTCGGCGACATATTGTCCTCCACCCAAACTTTGATGCCAAGGTCAAGACGCAGAGTCGTTGCGGGACCCTTCGTCTTGACTGTGTGCGGTATACGCGCTCTGGCTATCGATTGAAAGGGTTTCCAGTCGCCAAGGTGTTCCGGTCGACTACTCTTCTAAAGCGTTCTTCTCGCTTCAGAAGCAAAGTGGTGCAATGCCACTTGGCCGCGAGCTTTATCAGAACGGGCGCCGTTTTACTTTACTTTTTCATGCTTGGCCGGACGCTGCTTTTGAGGACTGAGTGGCAAATGACCCTAAATCTCCCTCATACTTTGCTATCATTTTGAAGAGTGTAATGGCAACCGACAGTTGATATGGCAGGATGTGACTCACATTTTGCCACTTCTGGATTTCGCCGCTTGCTCCTGCACTAACATCAAATATATGAGTCTGTTCTCACTGCACGTCACTACCACTTTCCCTTGAGGAGAAAACTTGCACATAAAGGAGATAATCAAAAAGCATAGAATCTCAACTTGTACAGTGCTGGCCATAGCTATAAAGGCACCCTAAAAATCACTGTAATTTGCTCTCTCTTGTTCGAAATTGTCTGAAAAACCACTATTCTATGTGCAAACTAACGTCATATCATTGACCAGAACGGCTCCCGATTTCATTGATTTTGGCCGGAGAAAAACTGAAAAATTTGAAAAAACGGGTTCTCAAGGCTGGTCACAGCTATAAAGCCACTTCTCATTTCCAATCGGTACTACGTTTTTCGAGGCTGATATTTTTTGTACATATACAGTATCAAAATATAAAACATTTACTACACTTGGAAGCAGTCGCCCTTTTCAAAAAGAAGATTCATCCAACTTTTTATACATTTTCTGCTTTAAAATGTATAAAAAGTTATAATGTTTGGAAAAACTGCCTTTTCACCAAATTTTTCAAGCATTTGCTTCACTCGAATGATAGTCTTAGGGCTTCGCCGAGCCTTTGCAGTGAATATGTTGAAAAGCGCAGGAGTCAACATGGCGAAGTCGCTGATATCGATAAACGAGACCCAACCTCACTTTCAGGTAGACGAGTTTTCGAACAGCAGAAATTGAGTTCTAATGCCCGAAAAGATCTGCCACGGTGCTCAGCAAGTCGCCTGTACAACGATAGACTCGTGCGCATAGCTTGAACGTCATTGCAACTCGCAGGATTTTGGTTCCGCCTTAAACGCCTTTTTTCCAAAAATGACTGGTGCACTCTGCCTGATCGTGACACATTCTGACTTCTTGATCGAGCGGAAAACCGCTCAAAACTTCAAAATTCTAGTATTCCTGACAGTATTGTAAGATCTGACTTGAAGAGGAGTTCAAAGCAGTAAAATTTGAAGTCATGTAAGATACACTGCACACAGCCGAACTGCAGACAAGACGTTCTAAGTTGGATGCTGCAAATACGTCTTTGTAAAAAGCCTGACAGCTTCTGCATGAGTACATTACCATGCAAACAAGGTGTCAACTTCCAACCGAAAATTTTCGCGCGTCAGAAATCGAGATTTGCGTTTCAGAAGTGCGTTTACACCTAGGTAAGATTGAGCTTCGTTCACCAATATCAGCGACTACGCCATGTTGACTCCTGCGCTTTTCACCATGTTCATTGCAAAGGCTTGGCGAAGTCTAGAACCTTCATTCAAGTCAAACAAATGCTTGAGAATTCGGTGAAAAGGCAGTTTTTCCTAACATTATAACTTTTTATACATTTTGAAGCAAAAAATGCAAGACAAATCTTCTTTTTAGAGAGGTGACTGCTTGCAAGTGTAACAAATGTCTCATACTTTGATGTTGTGTATGTGCAAAAAACTTCAGATTTAAAAACGTAGTACTGATTAGAAATGAGAGGTGGCTTTATAGCTGTGACCAGCCTTGGGAATCCGTTTTTTCAAATTTTTCAGTTTTTCTCCGGCCAAAATCAATGAAATCGGGAGCCTCTAGTCAATGATATGACGTTAGTTTGCACATAGAATAGTGGTTTTTCAGACAATTTCGAACAAGAGAGAGCAAATTACAGTGATTTTTTAGGGTGGCTTTATAGCTATGGTCAGCACTGTATCGAGTACTGTTAAGCAAAATTCTTTCTTCTAAAGTAAATGATGTCATGCTCCCAAACATACTGACACTTTTTTCTTGCTTTACCTCTAAAACTAATACTGTTTTCGAATTGAATTTAAGACAGGCTCCAAAACTCATTATATGAGATCTCGATAAATCACATCACTTGTCAGAGAATGGATTGCTGTATTTGTCATTTCAAGGGTTAAAAGAACTCGAAGAACAACAGAGTCTGAAACTCACTTGCTGGTTCTAGTCTCCAAGTAAGTACTCTCAATCTACCGCAGTAGCGATATTAAACTACAAAAATTTTGGAAGGCGCTAAGGACAACGGATTTGGCATTTTATACAAGTTTTGGCAAATGCATCTCATTTACTCAAATGTACTGACTAAACTTTGACTGTGTGAATAGTCGAACCCAGCATCCTTCCAAATTATTCTGGTACCAACTTATCGCTCCAGAACATTTATGCCTCGTTTAGCCAAAGTGCAGGGAGTAAACCTTGATTCAACAGGGTAATAACAACGCCTTACAAAACGGGTCACTGTCCCCTATAATAACTGTTAGGGAACTCATTCTTTTGAGAACAACTTACAAGGAAAAGATGGTTAGTCGAATTGACCTTTTGAGATGGGTTGTATACCATGCTGGAGGGCATAAAAAGCTGATTCCAAACCTGACTTTCAAATCATAACTCCTCGTCTAGGAGCTCCGCAGATAAGGGAGGACAGATTTGAGATGGGTGGGGAACTTAGGAACCCGAGCCTAATTAGCCCGACTCGGGGAGTGCCTGCAGAATACAGTCATGCTTGCTATCTCCGATTGTTCCCTAGGAGATGGCGACAATCTAAGCCTCGTCCCCTGACAGTTTGTTTTGGAACCTGGCCAAGCAATGCTGAAACTCCCAATTGAACTTTAGGTCACTGGAATTGGCTCTTAGCCAAAAACCTTCAAAATGATCGTACTAAGGTGAAATTAGGTTCAGAAGAAAGAGAAAAACCATGCCGTCATTATAATAAATCTACTGGTCAAAACTGATGGAACACTACATTTTTTTGTTCACAAGCTTATTTAGGGGTCAAACTCAGATAAAACACTGGGAAATTATTCAAGAAATTCTAAAGCTTACCAAAAATGATTTATTTGAGTGCTGAATCCGGGAAAAGACTAGAAAATCATTTAAGAAATGATTTTTTAAAAACTTCTCAAAAATAATAATTATTCAAGTGCTGAAATTCGGACAAAGACTAGAAAGTCAATCAAGAGATAACAGTTCAAAAACTTCTCAGCTGACAGTTTGAAAACTATCAGAGTTGCCTGAAAAGAAAGATAAAAGTAAAAATGATAATTTTCATACTTTACGCTACTATTTATAAGGAAAATTTCGACTCAAACTGTTCTTCTCTTCCAACCTTTTCTTGCCGAGGTCATCGCTTACAGCATATCTGCCGGATGTTTCCTCGCACATCAGAATCATCTGTCGTTGACAGACAATCTTTGATCAGCAATATCAATAGCGATGTTTTTGAACTATCATTCCTTGAATGATTTTCTAGTCTTCTACGCGAATTTCAGCACACAAGTAAACTGTTTTTGAAATTAGTACTGTCATTTTTTGAATATCTTTTGCTCAAAACTTGGCACACAAACAAACTTTTTGCAAACTGTTATTTCTTGAATGTTTTCTAGTCTTTTGGCAGAATTTCAGCACTCAGATAACTATTATTTTTGACACGTTTTTGAAATGTCATTTCTCAAACGATTTTACAGTCTTTTGCCCGAATTTAGCACCCAAATAAATCATTCTTGAAAGGTTCAGAGTTTCTTGAATAATTTCCCAGTGTTCCATCTGCATTTAACCTTCAAACAAACATTTGAAATGTTGTGTTCCATCAGTTTCAACCAGTAGATATGTTATAATGGCGGCACGGTTTTTCTCCTTCTTTTGAACCTAATTTCACCTTAGTACGATCATTTTGAAGGTTTTTGGCTAAGAGCCAGTTTCATTCAAGATTTCAGCAATGCTTGGTCAGGTTTCAAAACAGGCTCTCAGGGGGGCGGGGCTTAGATTGTCGCCAATCGGAGATAGCGAGCAGCATGGCTGTATCCTGCAGGCATTCTCCGAGTCGGGCTAATTAGGCTCGGGTTCCTAAGTTCCGTTCCCCATTTGAGATCAGCATTTTACGCCCTCCAACATGGTATACAAATCACCGCAGAAGGCCACTTCGATTGACTATCCTTCTTTTATTAGTCGGCAGAACTGGTCTACTGAAAAAAAAATGTGCACTTTTCTTGTTGCTATGCATCCCCAGATCGAATAAACTCAGTCACTCCATTGTTACTACAAAAATCTCACATTTACTCTGTGAATGGCCAAGTGAAATTTTTCATGTTTGGAAAATGTTAAACTGTGACGAAATGCGTATTTCAATCAAGATTCAATTACTCTGCAAATCTTGAACCTGCCGTCACCTTTTTCGAAAAGCAGTAGGTACTTGCTCCACCTGACTGATGTTTCCACGTAATCACGATGAGCTAGCCTACAGGAACAAGCTTCCAAGAAAAGCGATTATGAGTTTGCTGAATTTGGAGGGCAGCTAGCTTATCAAAAATCTGGAGATTACTTACATAGCAGTAGTTTTTAAATTGACCGTGGCAGCGCCTAATCTGGCATGGAAATGCACAGAAATTCAAAAAAAAACCTTATTACGAGAAAATCTTCTTCATATCCTAGTTTCTTTACTGGAACACAGTTCGAATTAGAGTTTGACAGCACTTTGATACCTGACGTTTTTACGGGCGTCAAACTGTTTTTTTTTGCCGTGAAACGCAGTAATAAAGAGATTTTTTGTAAAATGACATTGCTCCGAATTTTTCAGATCAATCAATTAAAGGCAGTGTCTCACCAAAGTTGAGGTCGCGCGGATTTTCACATATTCTATTATAGGGACCTCTAAATAGGCCATTACAACAAGTCCCACTCAATTTGACCCCCTCCACGCTGAGAAAAATTCGCCTAAAGTGGTACGCGGAGAGCGACTTGGTACGCGCGGACGACTCCTTCGGTCTCCCCCCTTACGCGTTTGAACATGTCCCTCCACTTGGCATCCACCTCCCCTGTGTTGCTGCCACTGTGGCTGAGGCTGAAGTTGGAATGTACAACTCGTCCATGTTGCTTCCGCGGGGCCTCCAGAAAACGGGTTTTGGGAAGTTCGTGCGATTTTAGGCCCATACAGTGCTAGAGAGGGTCCGACAGGCTTGCAAAATCCAAAAAATTCGGCAACCAAATTTTGGTAAGACACTGTCTTTAACAGCCACTCCAACTCACCGTACTTCATATCAACCAACTGGCCTTGCTGCACGCAAGGTAACCTAAGTGCTTCCACGCCTGCTACATGGCATTAGTAAAACCTCAAGAACTTTCCAATTTACTGGCCTCTAGGATTTAACATCGTTATACCCAACCCATATGTTTGATAGGAGGGTCCGTTATTAGGATATGATGAGCACTCGAGTGCTTGTGAATATTGGTGGATGCGGTGCGTCACAGCTCGACTGTGGCTCCGCATTAATCAATATTCATATCCATAGATATTAAACGTAATATTCCACGAAATATCATGTTAGATATAGTTGATTGCACGGAATCGAATGGGCTGAATGTCTCTTGCGGGCTAATATTGGCATTCGCGCGCATAAGTCATCATAGCGTCAACACTCGGCAGCCACGTTGCAGGCACGCTCGCGTGAGCTCAGCCTGCAGCGATTTTGTGCAGTCGACTTTACTATCATTGCAAAATAATCTAGAAAGTACATCTGTGGGAGGACTAGCAAGATGTTAGCTAAGTGCCCGAATTATGGTGGCAAGCGCTAGGCGTCAACAGTGGGATAGGAGTTCAAGTCCCCAGGCTACAACACACTGCTAGGTAGTGTGACTTAGTGCCTCTAGAGTCTGATACCTTAGGTAGGCGCCAGGCTAACCAATTGCCTGTTTCAGCAGCAGGACGCGGCGCAGTCACTGTCATTTGATGTCACATTGTAAGGAAATCAAGTCGGCATCTTAATTTCGCTACAACAAAAAATTTTCACTGGTAAAGTCTTTCTATCATTTTCTCATTCTGCGACGCTTTTTTATCGTCTTTTCAAAACTACTGTTGTTGCAAATATTTAAAATGTAAATATCGCGACGCCACTTCGACTTTAGCCCAACAAGACGCTAGATGACATCAGCTTACTAGTTAAGCCGCGTCCTGCCGAAGCAGGCAATCGGTTAGTCCGGCGCCTACCTTACAGCTTGGCAGTTGTACTCAACACTCCGTGCAAGCTTTGCATCCATCTCAAATGGCGTAGAACTATTCAAAGAGGAACCCCTAGCTCCCATGCGACAATGCATATGTGCCGTATCCACTGACGTGGACGCAGGGGTCCCAATCCGTCACGCAATGAGAGTGTGAACAGAAGCTTCTTACTGCACTAACAATGTTTGGACAAATAGTTTGTTCGACGTTACGTTCTACACAATCGTTTGTCTGTTCGTGCGCGAAGTCAAATTGAAGTTCCAGGACAAGCAATTTCAGATTCCGGTTAGAACGCGGTACAATTCGTTCATCACAAAAGCGAAGCTAGCTACGAAGGACTAAATTAGCCAACCTAAAGTTTTGCAGTTGTAGGAAGCAGCGACTGGGAACACATTTGTAGACATTGCGAAAAATTTGAGCGAATAAAAAAGTTGACAATAATACATGGCGCAAATGAGTGCGCCAACCGCTACTGTTGCATTAAGACGATAATATCGTTATGCGCTGGACTTAGTGCTTGAACAAAAGAGAAGATAACGCTTGAGGCAGTGGGTCGGCAAAATTCAACAACTCAGGATTTCAATGAGGTGGATTCCTTATCGCCCAAGTTTGAAAACAATGCAATCCCGGTTGCACAGCATGTCTTCCCCGCCGAGGAAACTGCTTAAACTTACACGCGCAGACTAATCTTACACGCATCCGGACGAGTTGACAAATTTCTTCTAACCATTGGAGGCTGCCCGCCGCAATGCTATAGCCATTGGGTCTTGCAAAAATTCAGCGTCATCAGCCCTGCTACACTCGTCCACTTCCAAAAAGAAGGACATTGAAAAACGCTCGTTTTCGCCGTTTTCAAGCTCTCAAAAGTGCATTTTCGGGATCAGCGTATTGAATAACCCCAGGTAAGCGAAAATTTCACTAAGTTGAGATTTGCCGAGCCACTGCCTTTCAAACATTATCTTAGCAGAAAGATAGATTGTTGACCGTCAAGATGTGCAGGAAAACATTATGGACATTATGTAAACTCGCAGAAATATATGCTTTATGAGGACCCGCTCTTCATGTTGGTATGATTTGAAAAAATAAATTGAGGATTTTGAGTCACATAATCACGTTTTTTACACGATATCATTGATAGATAACGCTGCATTAGTGTATGCATAGTGACAATGACAAGTAATTATGCGCTGCAAACAAGCCGTATATTTTCTTGTACAATGTTTGCACTCTTTTGAGGGGCCAAATACGTCAACTGTTGAGCGAACTGCTCTCAAACGATTGTGTCCGAGAGGCTGTAGTGGTACCCTAACCAAATCTTCTACGTGGGGTCTAATTTTGGTATTCAAGAGACATACGGATGGATCATTTGGAGATCAGTTAGAGGATCAGAAACTTCGACCACTATTGTAAATCTAAGGGTGAAATTTCGGCTAAAGAAAATGTTACAAACTCAACCTGCCTTGCTAGAAAGTAATAATCGATGTCTTTAGAGACTAATTTTTGAATCAAATTATCAGAAGTTTTTTAACAGAATCTCCTCTAAATGAGCGGAGTCCTGGTGATCTATGTTTTCTCATATCTGTTTCACATTGTGTATCAAAGTGCATCTTACCTTTGGTGTGCTTCCCTTAAAATTTCGTTTTGCCTCTGCCAAAGGTGAAGCAGTAATAGCTACAAATTTCTGAAACTAGATTTTTAAGAGGCACTAGTTACTTTACCTGACTCCCTGAGAGTAAACCAGTAAATAACTATAGGCTATATCAGTCAGCATCGGTCGTGGGGTCGTGGAATTCCATGAGCTGAGTCGGCGCGCGCAGTGCAGGCAGCGAAAATGAAACGCGAGCGCGAAAACGTATGGCATTTGGATATGTGGCCATTCGTCGCTTTTCAACTCTTTCTTGTTCGTACGTGTCTTGGACCTTCATTAGTTGTTTTTATTTCGAGTGGACATGATAGCTTTGAGATTTTAGAGGTGATAATGGGCCAGTACCCTCCCACGCAACTTCCCTTTTCCCTATCGCTAACATAATGGATAATGTTTGATTTGTCTGATCGCGACTAATGGTACACTATGATCATATTTTCTTTTCAACAATAAGTTCAGAAAAGCAGAAAGAGCCTGCACACGTTGTTCGATAATTTCGAGCATATTTTCTCGATTTTAAATAGTAAACTGTTAGTAAACTGTACCATATGGAATAAGCACAAGTTTCACGTGTACAGCACTTGCAATTCTTACTCTCAAAGCGGACGACCATTTTTGAGCTCATGCAAAACCATACTTTTCTACTCAAATGCTCATAACGCATGGGTATGCTATCCTTGAATTGCCCTACATAGTCAAGACCAAACGAAACTGATGTTTAGCAAGGGGAAAGAAAAAGAATACAAAAATGGAGCGTTCATATGCCTTTTGCTGTTTCCGCGCATGCGGCGCACGCGCGCTGCCTCATTCGTGGGTTCCTGCGACCGATAATGGATGGTACACAGCCAATGTCAATCACATAATTTCCGTAGAACCTACGCATCTTCAATGCGACAGTCTTGCGTGTGGGCCTCAGTCGTAAAACCATCAAAATGCCAAAGCCATACGCGCGCTAACGTGGCGCGTATCTGTGACTTTACGATTGCGCCAGTGAAGAAAGGAGTACGTGATTGACACAGACTGTAGCCTGTAACGAGGCTGGGTTCATACTGATTCTCATGTTCCGGAACTGTTCCACAGTTCCCGCACTGTGCTGGAACTGTTCCGGAACTGTGCTGCATGCGCTGCAAACGCCCCGCACGCGTTTTGAACGGCGGGAATTGGAGAATTTACGACCGTTTCCAAAGGTTTTTCTCCCAGATGCCTCTCATTTTGTCCTTATTCCTCTACCCCGCTTCTTTCTTTGATCAGCAGAACTTTGAACTTGAAGCGGGGTTAAAGAATGAGCGCTTTTCTGCTCTGCGTATCCGACGAAATGTCTGTTCTTGCACTTGTTCACTCTCGCTTCGTTTCCTTTTCGCTCACACCTATTCCATTTGTTTCAGGAAGCCGCTGCGTAGTTTTTGCAGCCATCTGTCTCGAAGTAGGACATGCGGACATTCTGAAAATGCGGAAATGGGAAATTTGCTCTTCCTGATGAATTTCGTTTATGGGCATTTTCTGCCCCTTTCCTTTTTCCATATCGTTCCTTCTCCGTTTTCTCTTCTACCCCGCTTCTCTTAGTGATGAGAAAAGCTGCGAACTTGAAGCGGAGTTAAAGATAGAAAGCTGTTTTCTTTTGTATGCTTGTTCCGGATAAGTAGAGAATAAAGCGTTCATTCCTCGACCCCGCTTCAAGTTCACACCTTTTCTCATCACTAGGAGAAGCGAGGTGAGGAATAAGGCCAAAATGAGAGGAATCTGGAATAGAAACCGTTGTAAACGGTCAAAATTCTCTAACTCCCGCCGTTCAAAACGCGTGCGGGGCGGTTGCAGCGCAAGCAGCACAGTTTCGGAACAGTTCCAGCACAGTGCGGGAACTGTGGAACAGTTCCGGAACATGGGAATCAGTATGAACCCAGCCTAACGAATGGATGTCAAGAACTCAAAAAACGAATGATATTTACGAAACCGAAACAGCACCCAGAACCTAAATGCACGGCATCCCTGGAATATGCTTGAAAGATTGGATTATTCAGTGCAATAAGCGTATTGGGAGACATCAATGCTTACAAAGATGGAGAACACGAGAACAAATCAAAATCTATTTGAATTGAATGCGATATCTGGAGACCTCATTATAAGCAAGATCAGTGATCAAATCTCATCTGGTCATATCTAGGACAGCGGTTTGGCTTAATCAGATTCTCATAAGCAATAATTGCTTTCTAATAGAAATCTTTTTGCAAAACTGCCACGGTGAGGGTTCCTGTAAAACATTTAGGTTGGAGTGTATAAAAAAGGTAAACTCTCATATCAGCGCTTAGATCTTTATGATACAAAAACTGCAACATACGAGCAGCTATTAAGTAAAATGTTGATGTAGACAAGTGCTGCACAATCTGATCTCTTGTGTCAACCAGCCAATCTCGTTTCGAACAAAGAAATGGTAGTGTTTGACGAGTACGAGTCAATCGTGATAAGCCTACGGATGGACGTTTGTCAGATTTTTATAAGGTCAGATAGTAAATCTCCTAAGCACGCGTAGCCCAACAAACCCTCCAATTCATGCATTTTGAAAACGCGGGGGGAGGAGGGGGAAGGGGCGTCACATCCTGCCTTCAGTGCACACCTCTGCTCAGCCGATCACGTAAGTCTTGCTACACTTTGACTTTACCAAACAAGATGTACACTTCTCAGTCATATATAGGCTTTACCTGGATACCATAGAGCAAAGCAAGCTTACAAGATGATTCGTAAACCTTCGCACCAGCTTCAATTCATCGCGAGTTCGAAGCTCAAATCTGGAATGTTTAAAATGCTCAAAAAATGAAAAAATGAAAATGAAAAAATTCTATACATGTATTTAGGAAGAAAATCCTACGGATGTCTCACCGCTTACACATACTCAAATAATCGCCGGGGGCAGGCGGCCATGCGAGTTTTGGGCAAGCGGGAACCGGAAAAACAGTTCGCTGACTTGTGGTTCGCTTGCAGGAATTTGGAAGAACGTTGGCCAACTTCTGACGAATGCTCGGAGAACAACGCGGTTCTTCCCTAGATTAGTTGCGGCGCAGTGGCCGCATTCTCGCGGACTTTCCGCGAGAATATGCAAAGTTTTTGGGGGGCCGCAAGGTCCTTTATGGAGGACCGCACAGCCCATAGGTACTTCCGCTTGACGAAGGTACTCCAAACTCGGGTAATCAAACCACCGAGGACACTCTGCCACCTAGAGTCTCACCTTTGCTCGGCGCATGTCCGAAACTGCGTAAAAAAGGTCCGAGCGCTTGTTGAAAGTTTGGTCAGCACACGCTGAAAGAAATTATTTGAGGAGCGCTCGCAGAAAATGCTGTATTGCTGCCCGCTGGCAGAATATGCGGCAGTAAAGGAAGTGCCGCCCGCTGAAGGTTTGGCCACGCCCCAAAATTCTGCTGACCGCCTGCAGAAAAGCGCGAGTTTGCGGACCGCCTGCCACCGCTCAGACAATCGCAGGGGGCAGGCGGTCCGCAAACTCGCGTTTTTCTGCGGGCGCTCAGCAGAATTTTGGGGCGTGGCCAAACCTTCAGCGGGCGGCACTTCCTTTACTGTCTAATGTTCTACCAGCGGGCAGCAACACAGAATTTTCTGCAGGCGCTCGGCAAATAATTTCTTTCAGCGAGCGCTGGTCAAATTTTCAGCTGGCGCTCGGACCGTTTTTAAGCAGCTTCGGGTGTACGCCGAGCAAAGGTGAGGCTCTACATGGCAGAGTAGTCATCGATGGTTTAATTACTCAAGTTTGAGGTACTTTCTCTCAGCGGAAAGTACCTGGGGGCTGCGCGGTCCTCCACAAAGGACCGTGCGGCCCCCGAAAATTTTGCATATTCTCGCGGAAAGTCCGCGAGAATGCGGCCACTGCGCCGCAACTAATCTGTAAGGAAACCGCAATTGTTCTTCAAGCATTCGTCCAAAATTCGCTAAAATTCTTCCAAATATCTGCAAGCGGACCGCAGGAAATCAGCGAACTATTTTTCCGGTACCCGCTTGCCCAAAAATGGCATGGCCGCCTGCCCCCGGCGATTATCTGAGCGGCTATTATCTGAGTATGTATGCACTCAACCAGTGCTTCACCTCTGCTTCGCAGAGGTTCGCACTGGCTATCATGAACCGTGGTAAACTCACTGTCTCAGAGCTTGTTTCTCAAATCATTGTTCGGTTGACTGAAACGTGGGAGCCGCAGTTAAAAATGAACCATACTCGCTATCTCAACCTCACATGCTGTTTATTATTGTAAATCATTCCTCACTGTAATTTCGTAACGGACAAACTCCACACAACTTCAGATTAAGCCGCTTATTATAAGTCATGATATCAGACACTCGTATGGTCAACGTTTCTTTTATGTATCTCTTTCCTCCAGGGAGTGCAAAGGTTAGACAAGATCTGGATGACGTATTCTTTTCAATACGATTGTTCCTTTGCTGGTTTTTTTTCTTTCTTTTCTGTGTTCTATTGATTTGTCGTTTGACACCCTGTTCTGATCTGATTTGTTGGATTGAAGCGCGCCTCCTGGCGTACAAAAATAAATAGTATGCACCGTTGCTGTATTATGCTGTTCCCATAATAATTATAATGGTAATTGATGAGTAGTTGTAGCTACAAATCTTTAGAAGAACAATTGTCTTTTCAAAACCTAAATTATGATTCTTGAAATTTAATGCTTGCAGAGATGAAAATTTACGATTAACCATTGTAGTATACAAGTACGTAGGTGTTGACAATATAGCTTCAGTTTTGTAAAAGCGTGACAGTTCTTGTGTTTTTGTTTTTCAGCGGAGGCAAGCAAAAACAGCAGCGGTATATGTGAGCGCTCGATGTGGACTGTACATGTGTGAGCGAAGTCAGAGCCTACGACTTTTGTAGAAATGATTTTTTTCTCAAAGTTTTGGGCATCCTTAATCGTTTGGAGTTCAGACTCAAACTTGGAATGGATCGAAGCTGTTGCGAACTTTTACAAGCGATCATATAGAGCTTGCTTACTCCATCGAAGGGTACCCTGAGTCCCTGTTGGAAATGAGAAGTCTATGATTAACTGCGATAGAACTTCAAAGTGTAATAAGACTTTTTCAAACAATCATTATGTTATTGTTATTATGCCCATTACCACAGCCGCTTCGAATTACAAGAAAAACAAGACTGACGTTGTTTGGTCAAGTGATTTCGATTCCCTGATTACACTTGGGTGCTAAATTTTTCGTATTTTTTCGCACACTCTAGTCTTTCTCCCGAGACTGTACAACAATGCGACAATTACACTGATCAAGCGTCGAAAGGAAGCTAGCGTTATCGCTTCACGCAAAAAAAAGAATTAGCTATACTTGCAGAAGTAAATTTATGATGCGCTTCGCACCTGTCAAATTTGCTTCTACTTCAAAACGATGTCTGCCAGCAAAAGAGCTGATTTATTATTTTATGTTGAATTTATATATCTATCGCTAATTCATAGGCAACTTTACTAGACTATAAAATATTCGTGAGTTGCTTAATGCGTAAAAAATGCGCACGCAATTTGGACCACCATGAATGGTATAATTTGCTCTGCTCTTTAGATGATTTTCTGTGGCAGAAGAGTTCGTCGGTTCATAAGCAACTGCAACTCAACTCTTCAGTCAATATCAAGTCCTCTCACAGAATGGGCAGCAGCAAAGCGTGCCGAAAGGATATTGGGAGAGTCTGTATAGTGGTCATGAGTGGAATGCTTTTCTCTCACGTTAGATACGCGATTATTGCACATTGCAAGCAGAAGAGGAAGGGGAGGAGAACGAAGAAAAATTTCGGGATGCTTTTCGCATCCGTCACGGGTATAACAAGCTACGAAACGAGGGTTTGGTTTTTTATACCAGCTCTCCCATGGATAACAAATACTACCTCTGATGTTTCAAGGGAATCTGTTATGTCATGTGTGATGTCGGTATCATGAGAGAGGTCGGTCTCTTCAAATGTTTCGTCCTCAAAGGTCATTGGCTCCACATCGATTTCATAAAATTAAAATTTGCTCGTATGAGAAGGTATAATGCAACAGATGCTTTTTAGCATGTAAATAAGTGGGGCTTACATACTTGTAATTCTGTCACTTCAGTTGGAGTAGGGACTGTAATCGGCTGATAGGTGATCATTTCCTGCTGTTGATTAACCTGTGTATTTAGAAAGTTGCAGTAGAAAATTTTGCAAGCTCTAGATACAGCATGAGAAATTGCGCATTATAAAAGCCACACTAGTTTGCTAATGTCAGCATGCTGTAGAGTTTTAGCTAAGCATGTAAAAAAATCTAAGGTTTACATTTGATCCTCTCTAAAAGCCACATGTACTGCTATGGTTACGGTTTCATCATTAAAGTCAATTCCTAAAGCAAAGATTATCTCAATATACGCTTAAAGCAGTTCTTTGATATCTAAACCGATTCTAATCAATTTCGACAGCAAACGAAAACCAACATAGCAGAAACTCTAGACAGGCGACAGAAAAGGGAGGTTAGGAGCAAGTGGCCACAGTAAAAGCGGTAGTAGGCAAATAACTCAGGAGCAACCGAGGAAGTGTGATTGATTTCGATCCTCTTTTATCATGTGGGGCGCTGTTTTTCAAAAGTGACAGCTAGGTTGGATCAGTATCCAGAGGGAACTCGTAAAAAGCATTTAACAATCTCCGCGAGATTCTATTTATGTTACTTTGGTTTGTGCATACCGCAGACAATTAGTCGCAAAGTCGGTAAAAGCAGCGCTAATGAAGTTGTAGCGTCCAAGAGGCAGATGTAAAACATTTGCGATTTATTGGGAGACTGGGAAAATATGCATGCATTACTTCTAAGCGAGTTACCAACGGAATGAACTGAGTTCAACTATTGCAACTAAGAGAAGGTTAGGCAATGTTTCTAACTAAGGTGCATTTCTTCTATTAAAGCATTCAAAGCATGAAACATACCGATTCAAAATCAAGAACACTTGATGTAGTAGGTGGAGTCAAGGGTGTTGTGTCCATAAAACGTTCGGTCGTTGGTCTGAACGGTTCAGTTGCAGGCATTTGCACCTCTACTACATGCTCCTCTTGCTCCTGAAATATCGAGCGCGATTACGATCAAAATCTAGTGTGAGGCCATAATCAGACTGTAGTTTTAAAAACAATGTAGGCAGAGAATGACGCGTGACACATTATAAGGCGCACATTTTGCGGTTCTCTATTACACCATTATTATATGATAAATCTGATAAGGAGGGAATTCAGAAATGACTACGATGTAGAATGCTTATGACAAGAAGCACCCAAGGCTTCTTTTCTATAAAATATTGCTGACCTACTACTCTCAAGTTTGATATTGTAGCGCAGACTACAATAGGATGGAAGTAAAAGTTTTAAACAAAAAAGAGAAGTCCTTGAGTTATAGTAAAGATACCAAAATAAATAGCGAATGAAAAAACAACGATTGACAACTGAGGTTTATCAGCAGATTAAAGCATTCTTATTCGAGCTTCTTTATGAAAACTTCTTACTTTATAATGTCATTGCCCTATAAATTTTGCTCTAGATGTGAGCGTTGCACTACAAAAGCTATACGATTAGCGCTGATGTGCACTGGGGTCTCAAGAGTGTCTTTTTTCTCATGAAGTCATTTTTCGCTAGTAACTAAGACTTCAGGGTTTCAAGGAAGTTGTTATCATGTTCCTGAAGCAAAAGAGGAATTCCTTACTTGCTGATTTCAAACAGTATTTACCTCTTTTTCAAACCCTACATGTTACTTCCTGCACTGCACGCAGCACTGTCCACTGCAGTCCTCGCAATAGAATAGAAACTTCAATATTCGCTTTACCACATCCTGTTGACTAGCCGATAGAAAGCAGCTTCCTCCCTTGCATGACTATATGGAAACGATTTGTTAATGACTGAAAAGCTTTCATACTACTTGGTATAGAGCAAATAATAAGTCGACTACAAATCGATAGAGGCGCACGGCGCCCATAAATCCTTGCAAAAAGTAGCCTATATACTCCATCATGATTACCTGTATCTGTAAGGAAGACTTTGCAGCATAAATCAATCCTTTTCACATTTTTGGAATTTTTTCTGAGAAGCGTCAATACACGTTAGCGCTTAATGCTTTTCTACCGCCTTGAAGAGCGATCGATAAATCGCTCTATCATGTAAGCCTAAGCTGAAGCCAGCTCTACATAGTGGTACGCAAGCGGCAAAGGTTTTGTGGGAAGAGAGCTACCGATTAAACAGTGCATACTCTACTTTCGATTTGATAAATCATTCGAATGCAAACGTTTTGAAAATCCGAATATCTGAAGATCTGAGGTCTCGAATATTATTTGATAGACGATTCAACGGTCATCAATTCGATCATTGGATTCAAATAATCGATGAGGATCGATACCCTTGATTTAACTGGCGGCAGGAAAGCGGGGCTTCGTGACCCAGTCAAGGCTAGATAATATAATAATTGAAGAACACGCGCGCAAGAGAGACAAATTGCGCAGCGGGCGTGAGCGGCATTAATTAGGTCACAAAGCCCCGCCTTCCAGCCGGAAAACCAGTTAAGTCAAAGTTTATTCGAAAATTGAGCATTGACCAGTCAAAAAATCGCTGAGCATTAAATATTGCATTCGACATCCATAGCATATACAGCATGTCTCAAGGGTATAAGTATCCACACGCTCTCTGGTCGTCAACATCTCTCTTCGCCCCATGACTTTTGCCCCGATCCTTGGGGTATCATTCCGTAGAGCTTGCTTCATCTTATATATGCAGGAAAAGAGAGACAACAATCACCCATAGCTCTTTTTTATTGCGGGATTACGGTAGGAACTTTAGCACATAGAGCGATATGAAATCAACCGTCTGATAGAACAAAAAATCTAAGAAGTGTTTAGCAGTGTCACTTGACAACTTTTATTCCTCGAGCTTTTTTGGTATGCAATCCTCTAGAAGCATTGTAAAAATCTATCACACTGTAACTGTCATATTTTACAAAACAATACGGCTGGGTACAAATCTTTATTCTCAGTAACTTTGCATGCCCTAATAGAGCTTTTGGTTTTTTTAAAAATTTCCTTTCTCATGCAATTATGACCCCCACTGTCTCAATCTCAGTTCTTTCAAGGCAATTTTACAGCAGTGAAGCGCAGTCGGCGAGTTGCTTCATAGTGTAGATCTGAGTTGAAGCAGAATTATAAAATAGTATCTAAGTTTGGCAAAAGATGCAGGAGGAGAATTAATTATCAAATATTGTCTATATCAGGTGTATCAATCCACAACCTTGAATGGAGGTTAACAGGGGTGGTCCACATGAAATATGTCGGACAAAATTTCTCGTAACATCGCCTAAACTCAATGAAATTGAAGGATTTTGTTTTCATACGATAGACAGAAAGAATCTGTTTACGTCCTCAAGGATTACTTCCAAGAATTCTATCTCCGGCTTTGCTGAAAAAATCTATTGTGCTCAGAGAAATTTTCAAAATGCGCGCAATGGGTTTTGGAGGATATTTCGTCTGAGGCTCTCACTAGATCTCCTTTAGCAAATCTAATAAACTGGGTTTGGAAAAGCGGACTTTTTGCTTACAGATAGAACAGGGGGAGAATTCGTGGGTTTAAGTGTTCGATTCGGAAGGCCAAACATTGTTTGTTCATATGTGGCAAATATGAAGTTTGATGGACTGCGAAAAAACCATTTTTTGGTCTATTTCATTCCAGGTTTCGGAGATATTCGTCTTCTCCATTTTCTTTTGTCCCATTATGGTTATTCCCGACTTCGGTTCTTAGTAAAACATTGTCAAGCTCGAAGGTTTTCAAAGGCTGTCGCCATGGCAACGAAAATCGCAATTTTCCGAGATTCTGGAAAAAGCATCGAAAGCAAACTTTAAAGGGCTGTGGCACCTTATTGGATCAAGGGAAATACTATGGACGCTTTTGGGAATTTTTAGTATGACTAGACACCAATCCACAGCGAAAACAAGAAATTGCAGTTGTGTAAATTCCATCGTTTGAACAGTGGAAAAAAATGACATTTGGCCCTTTACCTCACTCATCCTTGAACCTAAAAACCCTTTTTTTGTCTGCCTGAAAGGAAACAGTCTGCCATTTGAAACCCATGTCATTTGATTTGCCGACGAGAAAGCTGGTGAGAGTTGGGAGCAAAAACCATCGCGCGCAAATCGAAGAAATTTGGGAAGAGGTTTGAAGGAGAAAAAATGATTTTAAAACAACTAGGGACAGGTATCTCAAAAGATAGCTAGAAGTTCTTATACAGAAACTTCTTTTCTATCAGATGAGGAACTCATGTGGACCACCCTGTATGTTTGAATGATCTCGTGCAGTAAGCTGAACAAGGCAAGAGCCCTTCGCTTTCTATGTAGCAAAAATTGACCGATTTCACTAGTCAAAGACGCTAGATTCGAAATGAAAATATTTTTCAAACCTCTGAAAATCTCTTCAAGACCGTCATGGGAGGAGCACGCTTTAGATTTTCAGGTCTCTTGATTTCACCACTATACCGTTTTCTCATCAAAAATTATAACGTAAAAAAGTGTCTATTTCCATTATCCGTGTGAAACAACTTATTGTCAGATGTTTTGGTCTCAGACAGTCATCTCATTGACATTCAATTTAATCGAATAATCGAATAATATTCAAAGGTCGAATGACATTCGATATACGAATATCATTCGGAAGTCGAATATTTGGAAATTCCGATTTCATTATGCGATAACCGAATATTTGCAATTTTTGATTTCTGAGAATATTCGATTGAAATTTCGAATTTCCCTAAGTGTAATGCATACACAGTCTGCACCCCGTATATGTAAGGATTAATGCTCCCCATTGTCTGGTTCAAAATCAAGCTTCAAATGCGCTCATTTTTGAGGTTACACGTCTGAAATTTCTAGATCATCAGATAGAATCGCCCACCTAGAAATTGAGTGCACGCTATTGTACGCTGACTATATCATTTTTCTCACATGTGCCTTAAAGGCAGTGTCCAGGCTAAACCTAACCCCCTCCGATTAGTGTCGATCCTGAATGTAGGTCCCCAGAAAAGGGGCATCTGCGTTGGTCCGGTCTTCTAACGTTGTCTCTGAATGGAGATAAAGGGCCTGGAAGTTCCTGGCTGGGCGGAGTCTGATATCAGACTCCGCCCAGCCAGGGATGCCTCCCGACACGTATTAACGTGGTAGTGAGCTGAAGCTGTACACTGCTGCAACTGCACCCATGGAGTTGCAGCTCCTCCCCGCTGGCATGCCGACGCGGACGAGCGATCTGAAACTCGTCCGCACCCTCAAAAGAGGGTCCCCAAGAATCGGGTTTTTTGTGAATCTTGGAAAGTTTGAAGTTCGGAGCTGTAATCAGGGCCACGGAAAGGCCTCAGAATGACGAAAACATGGGAGGCCAAATTCTGGGTGGACGCTGCCTTTAAGTAGTTCATGCACCTACACCACAGAGATTAAGCAACATTTGGGGTCAGTAGATTACGTGCTCCATTCTTGTATCAAATTTTCCCGGAGGCAGATTGAAAGCTATATTCGTTCACTCCAACCTTTGCATAACAATAACCTAGGCAATTAGCAGAATTAGGCGCTGAGTATGCACGCAATGCAATGGTACCCAAGAAAAGCTGGCCAGGAACTGTTGCTGATTTTGTTTCTATGAAACAAAACATTATTCAAATTCTCAAATTGCGATGAATGTTAAAACGTAGTGCTCTCTTTATGGCACATATGTGATATCATTGACATGTGCAATATTCTCCAAAAATGTGGAGATGCAAGCACTTAGAGTGATCATAAAGCAGCATTCAAGCTTATACAGTTTGTAAGGCCACCAGAAGCCTACTTTGATCCATTTGATAACGTTACAGTTTCGATATTCTATAAGCCGAGTTCAATTGAAGCGACGCTTCCAAAAATGATGCATATCTCAGTCTCCGTTTTTAACTGTTCACAGTACCTGTGGCTCTTGGTACTCCTCATCATACTCCTCCACCTCATGCACGGGCTCCACTGCCATGAATGTCACCTATAATCGTAGAAAGGCTGAATAATGCCTTTGATACAGGCCCAAAGGACGTACGTCTTGCCGCCGCGTAGTAGTGGTAGGTGTAGTAAATTGGTTGACCAAAACCTTAACTGATGAAAGATTAGCATAAACATGCAAAGCTTGCGAGTTAAATCTTCACGTTCAACAGGCAGTCACTACATTGATTAAAATTTGTTCTTGAGCTAGCTGTTCAACAACATGTAGCAAAGAGTGGCACACATGTCAGACGTGGTCTTCTCTTCTCAAAAAGTAGTACCATTAGGTTTGCTCATACCTCGATTTGCGGTGCTTGCGTTGTAAAGGTTGTCAGCACCTAAAAGAACGTTGATCAAACTTTTTGCGAGTTAGATCTTCAGATTCAAAGCAGTCACTACATTGATTGAAATTTGTTCTTGAACTAGTTGTGTTCAACAACATGTAGCAAAGAGTGGCACACATGCCAGATGTGGTCTACTTTTGCCCAAAAGTAGTACCATTGACTTTGCTCATACCTCGGTTTGCGGTGCTTGCGTTGTAAAGGTTGTCAGCACCTAAAAGAATGTTATCAAACTTTTTGCGAGTTAGATCTTCAGGTTCAAGGCAGTCACTACATTGATTGAAATTTGTTCTTGAGCTAGTTGTGTTCAACAACATGTAGCAAAGAGTGGCACACATGCCAGATGTGGTCTACTTTTGCTCAAAAGTAGTACCATTGACTTTGCTCATACCTCAGTTTGCGGTGCTTGCGTTGTAAAGGTTGTCAGCACCTAAAAGAATGTTGATCAAACATCAAACATGTACTCCCTTTTTAATCCCCCGCGCACGTTTGCGGGCGTAAGGTCCGAGCGTTCGGAACTGCAGCATCGACTACAGATCGCTGCGTAATGCCCTGCGGATGCGGATGGTAGCTACGATAAAGTGCACATGGTGACACGGATTCTACACGTTGATATATCTGTTCTTTACAAAGAAAACTGGGGGAAACGCACTTTCCTAGGAAATGCAAGGCAAGCTGTGATTTGTATTTACGAAGAAAAGGAAAGTGGCCAGTAAATGATCAGACTATCGCAAACCGAAGGCGTACTGCAAAAGTTGAAAGTTCATGTTTTTGATGGGCCTAATTGCCCAATATAATATTGAGTTACAATGCAGTGTTCGTATCTAAACATTGTTATCAAATTTGCAGTTCACACGTAATTATTCAAGACCAGGCTCAAATGGGATATTACAGAGGTGAAATCACCGAAGTGGGGAGAAGAAAGTGGCTAAACAAAGATGCTGACTGCTCACCTCTGTAAAAACAGGTATAGGCGAGATTGTGGTAGATGGTGTGGTGAATAAGACCTGCAATGCAGTAGCATTTTATGTGTTATGATTGAAGGACTTCTACTACCTTGGCCGGTTGTGTAGTTCGCTCTGTTGCAAGCTCCTGGAATCACTCTTTCATTCAAGCATTCAGTGATATGTTAGCATCGTATGCGTGTGAGTATGCGTCGCACTCTTCATGATTCAAAAAGTGGTTAGTGAAGCTCCGTATCATTTCTTTCCTCGACCGAGTCATATACATATTAGAAGCAAACCATGACCTGGTCTATTGAAAAGGGCAAATATATACAGTGCTGGACATAATTATAAAGGCACTTTAGAAATCGTCGTAATTTACGCTCGTGTTGATAAAGCTATCCAAAAATTCACTATATAACGCCCAGGTTATCCTGCCATGATTACTCAGAGGTGATTCCAACTTGAATTCAAACAGAAAAAAATAGAAAAATTCGAAAAAGCCCCTACTGAAAGGTAAACAAAGCCATCCGGGTTCTTTTGAACTATCTCATTCTTTGGCTTTAAACTTTTTTGTACAATTACAGATCGGAATATGAAATATTTGCAACAACTGCCACCTGTCTTCCTATACAAAGAAAAACGATCACTACATTCATTGCTTTTAAAGGCGTCAAAAATTAATCTGTTCAAGGCTCCCTGGCTAGGTGACCTAGCTCTCAGCCAGGTAAATGCACCGACTATTGATCGAAATCTCTGTCAAGAGCTCCGGTAATACTTTGCCGGCACAGGGTCAGCTAGCCCCGCCCCAACGAAATGCACGTGCATCGATCGAAAAGCGTCGGGACTGCTCGGCGCTAGCTCATCGCTGGCGTGGCTTCGGCACCCTGTCGTAGCCTAACAAACAGCTGATTTGAGGAGTTTTCAAGTTCTTGATCATTCCAAATGATAGTCGTGGAATCCACTGAGCCTCTTCGATAAATGAGGTGAAGGGCGCTTTCATTAACTCTGCGTAATCGCTGATATGGACGGACAGACTTCAACCCCATCATAGAGTTGTCTACACCGCAAAACTCAGTCTGCAATGTTGTGAAGTGCTGGACTTGACTTGTTACATGGCCTACATGGTGATGCAGCTCTTGCAATAACTTTCAGATTTTCCCTAGAAATGTATTCGCGATTTAGATCCGAAATACTTCCACGACAAGTCCCTGTGAACAGTAGATTCGACATAATTATAAATCTCACTATCCTCTCGTTTCATTTCACACTTCATCCGATTAATGAAATTAACTAAGATTTTGAAGTTTTGAGCGGTCTCGTTTTCTATCACATGATCTGTGTTGGCTATAATCGTGCGGAGTGCTCACTCAATATTTAGTGGATGACAACTGCGGCTGAACCAAAATGCTCAATCCCGAAATTTTTTCAAACTATGCTTACAAGTTTACAGTTGTACAATGGTCGCAATAGACATAGTAAATTCTGCTGCTTGAAAATCAAGTTTTGTGGAGCAAAAGTGCGACCACCCTAAGGTAAGATTGTAGTTTCTCCGTCAGTATCAGGGAATAAGCAAGGTGTCTGGATACGCTCTTCACCTCATTCATCGGAGAGGCTCAGTGGATTTCTATGTCTATCATTTGAGATGAACAAGAGCTTGAAAACTCTTTGGGCATGCTGTTTGTTGAAGAAGAATGACTTTTGAGGCTGTTTGAAGCAAAAAACGCAGTAATTGTTTTTCTTGGACTAGGATGACAGGTCGTAAGTGTCGCAAATATTTCCAAGAATAACTGTACACAAAAAATTTGAGGGTCAAGGAAAGTAATGGAGAAGCATCATGGTGCCCTGCTGTCTCACTCCTGAGGGACATCTGTGCGCGTCAGCTTGCAACAGTGGATCAGCCTACAGCCCGAGCGGCTTCGAAGACATTGTTAAAAGCCGCGGCCTTAGTTTAAAGCACACTTTTTCGTCTTTTGCACGAACGGAAAGAAGTCGGCTTTCGTGTACGTATAGTATTTGCAATTTGTCTCACATTCTCATTTCCTCCTGCGCTATTATACGTACTCAAGACATACTGAGACGACACAAGCTGCACAGTTGTAAGACAAAGTGGCGTAAAAAATACCGTATTGCAGTACCTCCTGAGCCAGCAATATCAAGGCTCCAGAACCAATAATTTGACGTCTTTTTGGCTTCAACAAAAACCTTGTGACCACACATAGTGAAAAAGCCCGATGTATCTGTTAACTTTTTGTGTTAGATAAGCGCCAAGTCTCAGAGTCGTCACGCTCTCTTTTATGAGTTCTGTCAATGATTATACTAGAAGAGTCAAAACAAAAGGATCTACTTTATGTTATGTGAACCGAAGGTTCTACTGTTGCCTATGATGCCAGATCGAAGAAGAAAGAAGCAAATGCAATTGCACAGCCGCATCCGCCAAACTCGGATGTTACCAATTGTAAGTTCGCTCAAAGCAAGTTTTCGTTCCAGCTACGAGCATGACGTAAGCATGCACAGCACTTACTTCAACTACCTCCTCTCCCATATCCGGTTCATCAGTTACTTCCTTGGGCTCTTCAGTTACTTGCGCTATTTCCTCGACCTCATCAATCTAGAGGATCTTGTTCTGTGTAGCGTATGGCAAGACATTAAGCCACGATATCGACTTGATTGTATACATTGATATTCATAGATCAACAAATGTAAGGAAACTTCGGTGATAGCTTAAGAAGTAACATGATGAACTCACCTGTTCTTGTGAAGCAGGCTCTTCTGTTGTAACTTTGACCTTCGACTTCACACTTATGATCTCTGGAGCAGCCTAAGTCCATTTACACATAAATGCTTGAAGGCAAACTCGAATTTTATATTTTATGATCGTTCTAAAGAGGTTCCTGCGTTAAGCCAGTTTTGTAGACTTTGTAGAAATTTGTTTGGCAGTTTGAGCTACCATCTAAAAAACCTTTCCCAGCATTTTCCCGGCTACGCAAATCGGCGCTCGTGAGACTCTCTCTCTTTTTACGGCGATAAGTCATACACTTCACATTTTCAATAGGGGTTCAGGGTACCATTCGATAGAGCAAAGCAAGCTCTACAGGATGGTATGCAGAGGTTCGCACCAGCTTCGACCCACTGTAAGTTTGCATCCAAAGTGTAAGTCGCACTGAAGGCTCAGAAAATTACGAAAAATTCATATCTTCGTTCAAAAAAATCCTGCGAATCTCCAAATTTCACGCAAATTACACACTACATCAGACACTCATATGTACCGTTCCTGTATTTTTTTCTCATTTAGAAAGCGAGAGAAAACGAAAGTTCTCATGCTTGTACAAAAATGAAGCTCCGCTGTTCCCACTCATGTAATTGTATATTGCAAGCAATTAGAAGTTTGACCGTAAATTTTCAGCTTTCTGCAAGCCCTAGTTTTCGATAATTATTGATTTTAACATGGAACATTCGAGTGAGGAGAGCTAAAGTCGGTAATTTTTGAGAATTAGGGGCTGTGGAAAGCTGAAAATTTACGGTTGTACTCAAAAGTGCTTGTAATATACAATTACATGAGTGAAAACAGCATAGCTGCGTTTTTGTATAAATATGAAAATTTTTGTTTTCTCGATTTCTAGATGAGAGGAAAATCCAGGAACGATAACATAGCAGTGGCGTATCGAGGCCCCCCCCCCCCAAGAACGGGTCGCGAAATTTTTGCAAGTTACTTACATGGGCTATAAAATAGCGCAAATGACTTGTCTGCACTTGTAAATAATTGAAACAAGTTTTAAAATTTTTTAAAAAATTTTTTAGCCTTATAAAAAAATTTTTTTGGGGGCGTGGCCACGCCCCCTTTTTCTGAAATCTCGAAGTTCTGAGCCCGCGAAAGTTTAAGGAGCATACCAAAAAATTTTTCGGAGTGCGTGGCTAGCGCCACGCACCTTCATCGGAAGAAAATTTTTGTCGCCTCCCCCCCCTCCCCTCGAGCCGAAATCCTGGGTACGCCACTGTGATGTAGTGCAATTTTTGTGAGCAAGCTGAAGAGCCGTAGGATTTTTTTGAACAGAGATATAAATTTTTCGCGACTTTTTGAGCCTTCAGTACAACTCAGATTTTTGATGCGAACTTAGAGTGGGTCGAAGTTGGTGGAACTTTTGCCACCATCTTGTAGAGCTTGATTTGCTCTATGGAATTGTGTCTTGGACCCCTACTAAAAATGTGAACTGTATGACTTATGGCCGTAAGAAGTGAGAGTATCTCAGGACTTATGTTACAACCTAATGCAAAGATATGGGAACGAAAATGTACTGGTAAGGGCTCCAATCTACACACTTTTTCTTCAATTTAGTTTTTTAATTTGTCAATTCCTGAAAAGAAAGTGATAAGCAGCAGTTTTCTGAATGCATTATCCTTTTTGTTTTACGAGATGGTTCTTCGTGAACAAAATAATTCCACGACACAATTGAAAATTCGATCGGTTGCGGTTCCTTTCGGATTTTTTTCTGTTAGTTATTAGGTTGGCACGAAAGTTCGTTCGCACTATTTTCAAAAATTCATAACTTCTGATTTTTCCACGAGAAAGGGTTTCATGAGGCTACTTTGGATCGTACACAATATTCTCAAGCCATCCCATTCTATTCAACTTTTATTTGTTTCTCATGATAGCGATGTAAGAGGGAGCTGAAAGAGGTCCTCCGCCGAGCACGCATGGATTCGCCCATTCGCTTTGGTGCTTCCTCTTTAGATTCGCTTGAAAGTGATTCGCTTATGGCTTTCACACCATGATTTTGGGCTAAGCTTGCTGTCTTCCAAATTTGGATCCACTATGGCTGCTGGAGACACCGTTAACTGGCTATTTCTTGTTCTGTTTTCGCTATTTTTGCGCTAACCACGTTCGTCAGGAGCATCTATGAATGCACAAAATAAATAAATGAAATAAATAAATAAATGATACATTTGCTCCTTCTGATTATTACCAGATCTCAGCGGACTCAGTTTTACTAGAGAACAAAATAGATATTAGCAGCTGAAATTTGGATGTAGCTTTAAGATACTTGAAATCGCTTAGGTGATGATCCCCAACTTCGTAATTTTGGTTTGAATCTCAATCCAGAGACTAACACGAAGTCCTTTTAGCGGAAGTGCATTAGCGTCACAAAAGATGACATAACAAGAATATGTTTGAAGAACATCCGGCCGCGTAAAGCAAAACTGGATAAAGTCTAATTTTATCTATGCAGCAAACTACGGCAACTTAATTTCTACAAAAAGAAAGAAAATCAAGAAACATTCCGATCATCATATGCATTTTTACAAAGACAGAACGAACGTCAAGTTTGAAAAAAAGCAAACATTTCACGCATATAACCCAGTTGTAACAAAATGCTGGGAATGTAATGGGTCAGATTTCCTGCCCGTCCTCCAAATTTAACTTCGTTTGACCATGGTTCTTTTCAGAATCGATGGCTGTGAATGTAACAAGCGTATTACAGACAGCGAGTCCTCGGCAATATTGAACAGACTATCCCAGTTGACATACTGTCGTAATTCAGTTCAAAAAAGTTTTGCAAATTTCGCACTCGTCTAGGCATATAGTCTCCCCATAAGGTATTAGGTTGATGCATAATTCCTGCACCAAAATAGGTACAGACCGCAATAATTCGGAATAATCCTATATCCCAAATAGAATTTGATAAATCATTAGATAGCGCAAACCTAGCTCTACAAGATAGTAGAGCTAGGTTTTCTCAAATATCTACACCAGCTTTGATCCTTGCGAAGTTTTGAGCCAAAAACTGAAAAAAACCATGCGTAAAAAAACCTTAAGACAGATCTTAAAAAAATTGTAACTTCGTTCAAAAAGCTCCTAGAAAATTTCTTTCTTGCACACGCGTAGACATTCCACGCATCACATCTATCTATGCGGTTCCTGTATTTTTTACTCAGCTAGACGATGAGAAAACGGAGTTTTCATGTTTTTTCCAAAACAATGCTGAGATGTTCTAGCACTGACGGTTGTATACTACAGGACCTTAGAAGCGTGAATGTGAATTTTCAGCTTTTTGCAGCAACTGGTTTACGAGAAATATCGAATTTTTGGCAATTAGGCAAGAAAAATTCGGATGAGCAGAGCTAGATTCGTCATTACTCGTGAACTAGCTGTTCTAGAAAGCTGAAAATGTAAAGTTTGACTGCTAATGGCATGTACTATACAACCGTTAATGTTAGAACATCTCAGCACTAATTTGGCAAAAACATGAAAAACTTCGTTTTCTCATCGTCAAGCTGAGAAAAAAATACAGCAACTGCATAGATAAATGTGTTATGTAAAACGTCTACGCGTGAGCAAGAAAGAATTTTTGTAGGAGCATTTTTAACGGAGTTACAATTTTTTTGAGATCTTTCTTAAGGTTTTCGGACGCATGGTTTTTTTCAGTTTTTGGCTCAAAACTTCGCGTGGATCAAAGCTGGTGTAGATATTTGAGCACTATCTTGTAGAGCTAGGCTTGCGCTATCTAATCATGTATCGAATCCTACATGGGATATAGGATTATTCCGAGTTATTGCGGTATGTACCTATTTTGGTGCAGGAATTATGCATCAACCTGATATTTATATTAGATCGTTCCGAAAGTAATTTCGCTTTTTTCAAACGTACGCCACATTTCGCGGAACAAAGATGTGTAAGAGATTCTGGTAGCATTTGATGCAGCATTTCATTCTCTTTCTAATAGTTATATAACTGCGGCACAAAATTGAATAACCTTTGAGAAAATTATCGGAATCTGCGACCCATGCTTTCTCAGAAGGTCAAGTTTCACAATTTTTCCAAATTTTTGTAAGAGTCCCCGGAAGGAGTCCAAGTTATGTATGGATAGAGCAAACCCTACGGGAAACAGCACAACTTTTTTCTACTTTTCAGAGCTCGTCATAATTTCTGTATAGATTGTTTGATGGAGCCACAGAATTTTAGCAGGCTCGTCTCAGACACAAATGCATCAAACACCAAGAAATCGTCGGATTTTGAAACTTACAAAAATGAGTGATGGTTTTACACTAAGTTTACAAAGCAAATGAGCGTTTACCGCTTCAGATTAGCAACCTTCGAAAATTCCGGGTACAGCCGGAGGCGCTCTGGAAAACGTGAATTATGATGATTTTATCTCGGAAAACTTGATGAATCAGAAAAAAAAACAAGTGATAGAAAGAGGAGAGAAAGCTGCGTCGAATGACACCCGAGTTGCTTGCCGGTTATTGTTCTGTGAAGTTTGAGTTGACCAAATATGGAATTTGATGGCATTCTAAAACTGATTCCAGTAACTCTAAGAAGCAAGCTAAGGAAAAGAAAAAAAATTAGTCTGTGTCCTATAGGGTTTGCTCTATCTACCTGCCACTTGTACTTCTTCGGAGAATAGGTCAAAAATTTAAAAAAATTGCCGAACTTGACCATGGCAAAAAGCATGAGTTGCAGACTTTGTTAATTTTTCGAAAGCTCAATGAAAATTATGCAATGAAATTACAACCATTAGAAAGAGGATAAAATGCTGCATCGAATGCTCCTAAATCTCTTGAAAATCTTGATTCCATGAAATGTGGCGTTCATTTGAAAAAAGCGACATTACTTTCGGAACGACCTAATACATACACGTGCTGCATTTTTCTGATGGTTGACAATCAAGAAAAAATAATGCGCTAAAATTTCACATTTTGCCTGTAGCGCGGTTCTGTTCCTCGTTAATATGTGATTATATAGCTTATTCACTCGGAAATCTGCCACAAATTTTCAGCTTTATAGGTGCCCCAGTTTTTGAGAAATATCAATTTGAAGGTTGAATATGAAAAGACTTATGGACTATCTGATAATTTGTGTTACAACGAGAAATTCTCCAGCTCCTGAAGATCGAGAAAGATTTTCTTTTGAAAGCCCTACTTTGAGAAACCACTGTATAATCTGGAGCTCAACCAAGCATCAGCTGCATTTTTCAAACAAAAAACCTCAAAAAAATAAAAGATATCGCTCCATCGCTCCCTTTGAAGTGGCAAGGAGACTCCCCCCCCCCCTTTTTGGTTTTTTATGTATTACTGCTAAAAGTTAAAGATTGTTTTCCTATCAAAGGTCCTAAGCTTAGCCTCACTGTACAGGAAACTTCCGTAATCGCATTGCGCTTATGGTGTTGTGCTTTTTGAGGATCACAAGAATAGGTCAGTTTATGCCAGGCAATCACGACTTCAGAGTTTTTCAAAAAATAATATCTCCACTAGCATTTTATAGCACAACTTCTCGGCAAACATTACGTATGTCAAACAATTTGGTCCTTTGTCTGTTCTGTGGAGTTGGAAAAAAATTATGAACTTGCCTTGCCATTTTGGAGCAGACTGCGCAAAGCTCTTTCAAAACTCACACATGGAAAAAAGAAAGTAGAAAAAAGCTTTTATTTAATGTAAACAATGCTGTTGTAAAGATTTTTCTATTTAAAACTAGCAGTTCAGATAGGGACTAATAACGGTGAACTTTTGAAACAACCTAGAGATAAGCCGACCTCCAATGTAGGGTCAGAATATAATCTATCACGCGTACAGGAAGCCAAGTTTCCGCTTTGTCACGAATCGTGCAATCGTAGACAAGTTCAAGTCAGTGAAAATTGTACTGCGCAGAAATTTATTATATGTGACAGCATGTGATAATCTTTACTATTCTTGTTTTCAAAATGTGAGAATTTTTTCTTTTGTGGCTTCTAACAATTTTGTAGCTGGCGACAGGCGCCCCATCCAATCAACAAATTTATGACCTTCTTCTTCTTTATCCGGCGGCGAATTGTTCTTAAGGAACGAATTTTATTCTTGTTACGCAGACACAATATGGGTTGCGGAACGATGACAGAGCAAGTTTTGTGGCAGTAAAAAATAATCCGCGCTTAGAACGAGAATAATTGGATCCAACACTCGGCCACACTCACGCAGCGTTTGTATCAGAAACCAGCATTTTTGAATAAAAAGAGGTTAAAGCAATTACTCACCTTTATAAATTAGCCCATTCTGCATATCGCAGCGCTAACATTAGCATTAACACACTGCCTGCACCACGAAACTTTGAAATAGCGAAAACCATTTGCCATTGTCTGCTGTTGGAAGTGAGCTCACATACTCAAAAAATTGGTTGTGAACAATGAGTACTATTTGCGAGCAAAGAAAAATAGTGAATGCGGAGTGCTTAATTTTCTACGTAACAAGTCAGCTCAGATCTTACTTGGCATGGATTGAACGTCAGCTTGCAGGATCATCATTTGTTTGCGCGACAATTCAGAACAGAAGCCAACAATTAATCAAATCTCCCACACCCTCCTTGTTTCCGAACACAAGGATTTTGGTTTTTGTACATCTGATGTGGAACGCATCCTGTTTGTGACAAAATCCATTGTTTTTGCGTCCATTGCAATTTAAGTGATACGATCCAGAGCATCATTAGTAGCCATTGTCCAACAACTGCGAATCACTAACACCCGTGATGATTTGTTTCTTCCTCGCTCCCGAAAAATGAAAGATAACGATGATAACCAATGCAAAGTCTCTCTAATCATGCTTGAAATATGTTTTATAGCTATAGTGTCCATCATTCTACAAAAAAAGCGATGTTTTTCTCAAACTCAAAAGATTGGAGTAGTAAGGAGAACATTCAGTTTGATGGATGCAAGCATTATTCAGATTGTACGAATTCAATGCATATGGCAGGGTACTACGAGAATCTTGCCTTCTTAGAAATTTGCATGACGTAGGTACCTAGCAAAACTCTCAGGCTTTTATATCACAAGCTGCTCATAGTCGCTTGCATGTCATTGTAGTGTGTGTAATCTCTCGCATGCCAATGCCATGCACCTTTCAAAATTCCCAAAAAAGCTCGGGGGACATCAAATAGACATTAGAAATATCGAATGTTTGTTAGTGAATTACATCACTATTTAAACTAACACATTATTATTTGAAAAATGATAATGCGTAATGATTTGCTATAGCTTTGCTCTTACCTCCCATGCGCAATCTAAGCAGTATGTGGCTTACACGTCGCGACCACTCTCGTTAGAGTAGAACTTCACGAATCCTTCGAACATGCTTTATCAATCAATAAATTTTAGCCATTCTTGTTTACTCCACCACACAATTACTTGCGAATATTCTCCTTATCTCTACTTTAGATTCTACTAAATTTTATCAGTTTGCATGAAACTTTTGAAAGGTTGTTAGAGGTGTTGAGGAAGCTGCGCTACCGGTAACGACCGTGACTAGATAAAGCAACCTCAGAAAAAGAACGAGAGTTGAGAGGTTTTCAAAGTTTCTGTCCTTGCTCATGTTATTATGTACTCCTTATTCTATTAAATCAACAAAAAATGATACGGCAGCCTACCGGTTCGATCCTTTGCTGAGGGAGCGCGTATGGCAACTGTGCAGGCCCCGATACATCTGAAATTAAGCGTTTTAACAATAATGTGCTGGACAATCACCTGGTCTCGTATTGTTTTTGTTTCTCAAAACTAATGTAGTATTTTGAGATACTAACGCAACTACAATGTTGAATCAGAAGTCAAACAGCCTTTGTTTCCTCAAAATATGGAGCGCAACTGTCGGCTTGCAAAATTGGCGATATAGCAGGAGGCGGCGAACGTTTGATGCTTACAACACAAATCTTTTGAGTCGAAGTGGTCTTTCCACATGACATGTAAATCACTAGCGCGCCTTTGATCGCTGATTTCGAATCTGCTTTTCTTGCGAAACAACTCTCTGAAAGAGCAATGTTTGAAAGCTCATATTGGTCAAGCTATAGGTAACGCAATTTGACGAAAAGCTGAGTAAAAAGCCGCAAAAATCGAAAGTAGGTAATCAATTTTGTGTTATGTTGACTACAGGAAAAGAACTGGTGGAAATCTGCAGGTTTGTTTTTGTACAGCTTTTTGCTAATTTTAGGCCCCTTGAGACTTGACAATAGATCTTCAAACACTCATAACTTCTTTCGTGGGGTCGTTCTGTAGAACAGAGACAGATTTTTATCATCGTTCACGGCTCTACAAAGTGATATAAGTGTTATGTAAAAGTCCGATTTGACTAAAAAGGCTTCCCTTGCAAGTTATACGGCCTAGATCATCCAATCCTACTAAAAGGTAGTTTCTCGTAGCTCCCGCATCGCTCGTAAGTACCAACCACGATAACCGCTGTATAAGTATAGGACAAGCTAGCGAGTGTCCTGTTATAGGTGTACAAGGTGGCCCAAAAGTATGCACTCACTGTTTCGTCAATATCTCACTTTCCACAAAGCCTTTGCCAACCTTTGAGTAGCATTTAACAGTGAAGTGAGTTTACCCCCTCTTCAATTCTATTACGGTAGAAAATACTAGCGCACAGCTTTTTTGGAAATTAGTCGTTTGAAATAAAGAGTAAAATCTGGGAAGTGGTGTTGCATAGCTTCCGCGCATGCTGATCACTATACAAGTTGAACAAATTCCTGAAAATTCAAATAGTGTAAACAATTTTTTGAGGAATACTAGAAAAACAGTTGTCAGTTGTACCTATATAGCCCTAAACGAAACATTACCTTGAACTGCAAATTCCATCTGAACTCTCTGACCTAGACTAAAGGTTTTGGTTTCCTTCCTAGAGCAAAAGGTGTTCATAGTGGTTCAAAACCTTCTTCAAATTTTTTACCGTGATCCTACAGTGATGAGCGATCTGTAATTTGCTTCGTACTATCAATCTAAATTAATTTCAGCTCTTGATTATCGGCAAAAGCCGTAGTAGGAAGAAAGATATTAACAACCGAACAGTGTGTACATTCTTTTCAAACACCTATATGTGGAACTGGCAGTGTTAAAAACCCTATGAATTTTATTTCCAAGCTAATATTGTTTCTATTCTCTGATTCCAAAAAAAATTAAAGAGACAAGAGCCGCCTCAAATATCACATAAATAGAGAAAGTGTGACCTATTCAAAAAAGCCTTGAATTCAAAACAAAACAAGCGGAAAGTTCTGTAGGCTTAGCTTTGTCGTTTATACACAATGCTTTCAAGTGCTTCTATTCTTACTATTTTTGAAGCTTTTCTGTCTCAGTGTTCTGTTCTTTACTTCAAGCGAAATGGTTTCTGAGCAGTAGTTGTTGCATCTATTAGGTTGGTGCAAAAGTTTTGTCAGTTTCTTCAATCCATCGGCAAACATGCTAGAATGAAGATAAACTAACATTTCAAAATGTATCCGATGCAGAATTTCTTCCTCTTTCCAGATACCAAACTCTCATTGTGTTTCGTTGCGAGAATGACGAGATATTTGCTGGAAATTACAACCACGCGTTTTTACCATGTCCAACTTTCGCTAATTTTCAAAATTTTTATATGAAACTTTCGGAGGAGCCCTAATATCCAGCAGATAGGGCCTTTTGCCATATTACGCAATTTTTTCTTTTTTCAGCTGCTTTTCCAGATTTTTTTCGATATAGTTTCCTGAAAGTTTAGTGTTTTAGAAAATTGCATAACCTGTTATTGCACCAAACACTGCAAAACTTACAGAATACCAAAGTTTCAACACTCGATTATTACTACCGCTACCACTACAAAGTAAATGAGCAATTTTCGCTTCAAATCATAAAGATTTTGAAACATAGGTTACGTCAGTGCGCACTCGTAAAATTTAGAAATACTGCAATTTTTCCCATAAATTTCGCCTGTCTCGGCAAAAAAGGCAAGTCTTAGAAGGACGAGAAAAAGTTACATCTGGTGACTGAAGTGATTGACATTTTATGTTCTACGAGGTTTAAATAGGCTGAATGTAAAATTTGGTCACTTAAAAAAATAAATCGTAGAAACTCTGAAAGACAAGCCGTAGGGCTACAAAAAACTGCTTCTATTGGCAAAAGGTTTGCCCTATCTGCTGGTTATTAGGACTCCTCCGAAAGTCTCATACAAAAAATTTGAAAATTAGCGAAATTTGGACATGGTAAAAACAAGTGGCTGTAATTTCCAGCAAATATCTCGTCACTCTCGCAATGAAACACAATGGGAGTTCGGCTGCTGAAAAGAGGAAGAAATTCTGCATCGGATACATTCTGAAGCCTTTGTTTATCTTCATTCTAGCGTGTTTGCCGATGGATTGAAGAAACTGACAAAACTTTTGAACCAACCTAATATTTTCTTGTACAAATTTTACAATAGAGAAGAATCAAATCTAATATATAAAGAATGGTAACGCTAATACCCCGGAGTATTATTCTTTTAGACTGACACATCGCTATCGCCAGGATTTTTTCGCTTGGATGTAATCTATTATTAAAAGCGTGAAGCTAAATACAAACTCGTTTTCAAAAATAGATCATACAGCTCTTACTTCTTTGCAAAGCGTGTGCGTTTGCTCTTGGATTTTTCAGAGTATTTTTAAGATTTGACAGCTTACTGAGGAAGAGCTTATTACAACTCATGGCCAACGCGAAATATTGACAGATAGACATAATGGGATCTTCGTGTTGCAAACGGTAATATCTGTCATCTGACCGAATGTGAATAAGCATTCTTCTAGGTTGTCCTAAATGTAAACTCTTTTAAGATGGACAAAATCTTGGTTTTCTAACAGATTTGGGATTGGAGCAAAGCAAGCTCCAGAGCAAGCTCTAGAGCAAGCTTTTTCACGATTGCTCTCTCTCTCTGAAGTTGTGAATCCATAAAATTACCCCGATAATTTTGAATACTTTTTGCGATAAACAAAATATTAGGGACCAATAATTTATACATGAAAAGATTCTGCCTTAGTGATAGTTAGAAGAAAATTGAAAGGACGAAAAAATTTCTAATTTGAGCCTATCATTTGAGAAGTACGAAGTCTGAACAAATCTAGCTAATATTCGCAGCAAAACAAATGAGAGAGCATTAGGATACCTTCTAGATATTGTGCGAAGTTCTTTGTAAGGGGCGCATTTATACCAATGGCTTGTTTGAGATATACTGGCGAAAAATTGCTCGACTTTAGGACAAACTAAGAACTTAGCAACCTATAAAAGTCCATCATTTATCTAATAGCACCAACTTTGCTTTACAGCTACGCTCAAGACCGTTTTTGAACGCCTTTCAAGAGCTTTTGCAAAAAGAGTCACGAGAACTTGTTTGCATACGGTTATGGCCACGCTAATGGATACTTGCCAAATCTTCTTCGCAATCCTCACCAAAGATTTTCGAAAAGGAGGCACGCCTTCAGTTCCTCCTGCACCATCACAGATTCATGTTCCAATTTCTGACCTCCATTGCCAGCAGACAAATAAATCTTTTCAGCCGCTTTCATATATGACCAGGGTCAAGCGTGGGGTGCGGCACGCCACACCTGGGGGGTCGTATTGAGGAGTCAAAAGGGGAGGGGGTCGTAGTTGGGTAATCTGATAATAGTGATAACATGATACTTGTATCATATCCATATTTAGCATGCCAATTAACCCTGTAGACAAAGTGTGAGCGAATTCTGAAGATTCAAGATACTAGGCTACCGAAATGAAATGGTCAAATTCCAACATGGCTAACTTTGTTTCAAAGGTGAATTAGCTATCCGTTTTTGCACTCAAGACAAAGCACTACTCCTTCTTTGTCCAACTCAGGAATCCCGCTTCAAAAGACCTGCAAACTGTGGAATTAGAAGCCAACCAAAATCTCGTTTTTCCCATTTTTCGCTTTTGATCGCTATGCTTTCACCAAATATTACTCAGAACTAAGAAGACGAATCAGCCTCCAAACAGTCCTATGGAATCTACAAGGTTTAGGCTATCGATTCATATAAATACTGTCCGCTAAAAATGTTTTTTGATATAGTTAATGGGGTGCGGCACACCCCCTTAAATTAAGGGGGGTGTGCCGCACCCCCTTAACTTGCCTTCAAAACCCAGAAAGCGCTCCATTGCTGGTATGAATATTGAACACATAGCTTCTTCTTGCTACACTGGAAATTTGGAGCCGAACGCCCCACCCATAAGAAAATTATGGCCCTTTCAATATGCCCTTTCAGATCAAAATCAGCCGTCAAATTACGTGTGATTGTAAAGTGCAGTCACAGAAAATCGGGGATACAGCTCTCAGAAATCTCAAAACTCTCTAGAAAAAGCTGGTGTCCTCCAGAATGTCACACTTTGAGGTCCAGAAGCTAAGAGGAGGAAGAAGGGGTCGTTTGGGGCTTTCATGGGAGGGGGGGGGGGGTTGTTTTCGAAAGACTTGTGCCTGACCTCTTTCTCAACTCTGGTAATGCTATCTTAGGTGTATAGGTCAGGGGGGGGGGTCTTATTAAGACAGCAATCAGGGGGAGGGGGTCGTAACCAGCGATCGTGTGCCACACCCCTTGCTTGACCCTGTATATGACCTTCTCAAAGTTTCGTGGGAAAGGAATATTATGAAGAATGAAAGAAGCGCAGGAAATATCAGTCGAATAAACGTATTCTAGTTCACTGATTTATCTCTGCATTTCTGTACACCTATTCAGCTTATTTCTGTCGTCTATCTATGCATAGGACATACATAGACTTGTGACAAAGAATTTGGCTTCAGACACTCACTCAAACGTCCCAGCATGAATACCCAAGCAAAAGTCGTTAGTACCTCAGTTACTCCTAGTATCTAGAAGTTATCAATGAATGTGAAAAGTTAGAAGAAAACCATGATAATGCGCTTGCCGGAACTCAGGCACCCGTTGTCAGTTTGTGATAGCCTAATATCTGTTATACTGGTTTGTTTATTCATCCAAATAAGCAAATCAGAATGAGCAGTGTGAGAATAAACCGCCTAAATAATAATAAGGCCTTTCAAATTAGCGCGGCTGAACGCATAGTGGTTAGCGAGAACGATGACTTCCCTTGGAATGGTGTTGTAAAGCTTGTCCATAAAGACGAAATCAGTTATGAACCGGGAATAGCAGTCCTCTAATAATCCGCAAGCTTTTCATATAGGTACCAAGACGCAGTGGCCCATACAACTGATACATGAGAGGATATACACAAATGAAAGAGGATGCCCTAGCTTAAGCTTAAATTTCTACCGTATTTCTGAATAAAATAGCTGAAGCCTTGTTAGTGAATAGATTAACAACGTTGTTTTGAAAGTAAACATTGCATGTTACCGTGGCCTTTTGTCCGAAAGTACCTTCAAGTGTGGTTGGCAACAGTACTCATGAAATCCTTCTAAAATCTAATAAACAGTCTGAACTGCTTTACAAATTATATGTATCTCTTTGCCGAGATCCACCAAAAATATCATCATAAAAGCTGGCTTGCGCAATGCCTTTGAGGTGAAGTTTCTGCCTTAATTCTAAGTTGATCGATGCTTTGCTCCATACTACTGTATATCTATGTTGAGCCCAGTTCTACAAAAAAGTGTTTGAAGGGCAGCGAAAGATGTCATGGCAAAAGTATCCTGACAAATGCAAGGACATTTTTTAGGACACCTTGTAGCCTAACCGATGTAATGACTAATCATTTTGTTCATAGTAACAAACATATGCTTTGTATATAGAGACGTAGACATGAGTTTAAAACGGCGGTGACTGGGTTCATGTACAAGCGTGAAAGAAGTTAAGGAAGCTTTTAAGTATAACAGTCTAATCGAATCTTTTAAATTGCTGTAATGTACGATTACATGTGCTAATGCACATTTCAGCCTAACGCCGTCACACAACTGATAAGAAGCTGTCTTTTGAGGTTAATAATGCGTTGTGTAAACTCCAGATGTTTTGGACCAGAGTGAATGAACAGAACTACCTTCACATCCAAGTCCAACCTCGGCTCCGGTGCACATTGGCAGAGTCTGGGGAACAGATGGTGGTGGTGGAGGTGGTGGTGGTGGTGGCGGCGGTGGAGGAGGTGGAGGTGGCGGCGGTCGTGGAGCTCGAATAATCGGAGTTTGGACTATAATCTTTGGCATCATTACCGATGCAGTGGGCCCAGCTGCGACTGATGCTCCGCCGTCCAGTGATGCACCGTATGAAGGTGCAGACGCGGGCACTGGTGCTGCTTCGGGTGCAGGTGCTGCTACTGGTGCTGGTTCGGGTGCAGGCATTGGAACTGGTGCTGATGCCGGAGGAATTGCAGGAGCGGGTGGAGCATACACAGGAGGAGGTGCAGCATATGAAGCAGGAGGTGGTGCAACAAATGAAGCAGCGGGAGGTGCAGCATATGAAGCAGGAGCAGCGACAGCAGCCGCAGGCCTGTAAAGATAGTTTGAACCTTGTTTTGCTTTCAATTATGTTCTGCTAAAGCGTTCTCCATGCATAAATTCGGGTGATTATTGAGAGTATCTTAAACTGTTTTTTCCTTAAAGAAGGGTCAAGAAACTTTGGGAAGTGAGCACTATGGAATGCGAATGCGTTTTTACTTGTACGTAATACATCTTATTTGAATTAAGATTAGCTTGCAAAATAATAGAGGCATGGTGTTACCATGAGAAATGGCAAGTGCTATTCTATCACGATACAAAGCAAAAAGCAGAAGTGTCGAGGTTTATTCATTACAAAGTTACCCGAAACCCGAAAAGCATTGGAAAGTTTTGTTAATCTTTCAAAAGACCATGAAACCTCGTAGAATGAATGCCCGAACGCGCTTAAGCATGCATTCGGTACAACTTTTTCTTCCCTTTCTGAAATTTACATTTTGCACCTTCCGAGAGCTTCTAGATGACTTTATAAATTCATCAATCATCATCTATCTCTTCAAAGTTCTGCTGGTTTTGAAAATTTTATTCCAGAACCTCGAGAAGGAGTAGGCATGAAATATAAAATGAATGCCATATAGCTAAAGATTTACTTAACATAACAACTACCAGAGCTTCTTAAAATTAGGAAAATTTCTAAAATCAGGGAAACTTTGCGTCACCTTTGAACTGCCTAAAGAGCAACGGCGATGACATCGCAATCCATAGGTAAAAAAGATGTGTTTATCAGAAAGAGAGTAAAGATTTGAATTACACATATAAAAATTTGATTCACGCAGAATCATTACCTAAGTTGTCGATCGATCAGTGTTTTCTGAGTTTTGGTGACCGATCAAAAACGAGAAATTCTTCTTGACACAGAGAGCTCGATTTTTTGAGTCCAGATATAGAATAATCGTTTCGATAATTTCAAAGTTGCCTTGCGCCCCCACTCTCTTCGTCCTTCCTCCCGTATCTCCTGCTGCGCATTTTTAGTGGCTATTTCCGACGACACCATGAAAGCTAGTGTCAGGTGGATCCAGCGATAAGCGCAGATTCCAGAATGATTCTTGAAGATAAAAACCGGAGCTGAACCAGCTTTTATCTTCCAAAAGCTATCATTCAACCTAATCGCATGGAAGGAACGTTACGATGAGACCATTCATAGCCGGACATAGCACCTAACGTCCAGATATCGTCTCAATTAGCAAACGCAAGCATGAGGGCATTTCATCGTCAGAAAAAGCGCGATAAGTCTCCGCAACAGGATCTCACATGAGCATAACAACACTCATAAAAATTTCTTGATTATTTTCAGTCTTCCTTTTACGAGTAGTGAGCGAGGCCCGTCTAATAAGAAATAAGCACATTTGAATAAGCTTTCGTGCTAAATGTGCAGTTCCGCATTTTCCGGGAAGTTAGCGATAAGATGCGAATCTTCCAGGTAAGTAGCGCGTGACATATGATCGTTTACGCTTCTCTCACAATTAACCCCAGGAAAAACAATAGGCCAGATAACCAAACTTATTCTAAAATATGTACAACTGCACACTTCAGCGAGGAAAACCACGCATGCCTCAAATTCGAACACAGTCCGCTATCATTTTAAAATTTTATAAAATGGTTGAAAAGCGTTCGTTGATTAACGAAAGTACTGCTTGACACGGAATTCTATTGGCTTCACATCGTAGGCCAAAGTTATCGTTTTGTCTAGATGGCGTCACAGCTTTGGCGACATGACCTTGATACAAATAAAGCGGACGCAAAATGAGGTCAGTCTGCTACTCATCAAAGCTGTTCTTAAGTAGATTTGTGCTACAAAAGCTTAATATTTGGATTTAGAAACCAATCCCAACTGTGACGGATCTGCTGCACATACGAGCGCATCCATCAACTTCTTCTCCAGCCGTTATCATCCTTCTTCCAGAGCTTCCATAAACTCATCTGTTCAGTCATGAAAGAAGGAACCCGAATGTTTCACATTAGCATAGGCAAAAACAAGACCATAATGCTTCATTCTCTGAATGCGATGACCTAACAAGCCTGAAGCGTTTTTAATAGGCTAATTCTCAGGCTTTCTCAGAGTGCCTGCTTTTGCATCAAAGGCTTAGAATTGTGGGTCTCCGGGAAAATTCCCTTGCACTCAAATTCCTCACACAATCATAGGGGCAAGGTAAACGCTGCAAAGCTCTGCTAAGATTTTTCCATTACTCTCTAGGAGAGCATGTTTTATTTTACATTAGCTGAAAGCACTATAGTTCTTTCAAATATGTGTCATGTGCAATGTTTGAATACATAAGAAAGTCGATTAAGCAAGAACCAAAGGTAATTCCATTTTGACAAAGTTAGATGAGCAATGTTATAATATGTTGCCTACCTCGCACTGCACCAAATCTCCACCCCAATGGATTTTAAAAGACGTTGAAAAAATTGTACTAGTCAAGTCTAGGAAACTTTCAATTTGTGAACGAGATTGGAGAGATTTGATTGATGTGTTTGAAGATCTCAGTGTGAAAAACTGGGGAAGCGGATGGAGAAGAATGGGTGAAAGATGTACCATGAAACGATGCTTGGAGTTGCACAATCAAGATCAAAAAACTTTTTTCAATGCCAAAGTTATGAGAAAAATGTGATGTACAAGTTTCGAATGGTGTCAAGCATACTGAATCGAATGGAGAAAGAAAGGAAAAGAAGAAATAGAAGAATGAACTCACGCTGAGCATGAAGGGCATGTCGGGCAACAAGCCATTCCTCCTCCAACTCCTGCTCCTCCAAGCGATGGTAGCCCAAGACCTCCAAGACCTCCTCCTCCTCCAAGACCTCCAAGACCTCCGAAGCAAGCCAAGGTGGGTGCCGATAATCGTAGCAATAGCTGAATAATGTTTCATAGACTCTTGCTAGAGTTGAGAAAAAACTGTAGTCCCCAAAAATAGTAAATCAAAAGGGGTAGATTTGTAAGATACATACCAGCAATATCATCGCTAACATGTTTCTCGGTAGCAAGGCGAACGTAGGCGGGCACGCTTAGCGACTTTATAGGGGCGGTCGAACGTGAACCTGAAAATCGCCGACGGTCCGGTTCGGATGCTTGAAAAAGTAGCTAGCTGGACACAACTGATTACACAAAGGCTAATACCTAGCTTCTCAGCAGACGTCTTATGCTACTGCCTTACATACTACACTGCGCATCTTCTCGCTTGCTTTGTGCCTATCAAAAATTGACATCCTTCTTAGATTTCTCGATGTAATTCATTCGTTTACCGTTTTTGACCAAGGTCTGACGCTATCGAAGCCATTCGAACGGTAGTATAGCTAATATAAAAGCGTCGCTCCCGGAGACATTGTGGACATAAATCAGAGATGCTATACATGGTGCAGGGCTAATTGAAAGTTACGAGCGCAGCGATGTCGTTTGAAAGCATCAAGAGAGCCACGAAGGGAGTGAGGTCGAGGATAGAACTTTCGTCGGTGTCCCAGCATGCTAAAAAAGCAGGTTCAAAGTATGGGCTCAAAAGATAAGGCTGACACCTGATAGGTTGCCCAAAGCACGCTTTCATTGCGTAATTAGCATGAAATGAGCTCAAATTTGCAAGTATTTTCTTTTTTTCATTGCTCAAGCTTGCATTTGTTATAATGTTGCGCAGAGCTCATCCGGGTGTTTCTCACTTTGCTAAGCCAATGCAACCTTCAGCATTGAATCGGGAATGGAACATGACTTGCTGACCATTTCGCCTGCATAGATAGTACGCTCTCCCATGGCGAAGGTAAGGTTTAAGAATTCAAATACATCAAACGCATGCCATAGACTTTTTGTGACAAAGTTCAGATTCATTTCGCTTTCGTTGAGAGCGCTATGGGGTCAGCACGAAGACGATCGTTTGCAATTGCTTTGATTCATCTTTGCCTGTAGGGGCACATAACATGAGACAGGAACAGGTAGTTGCAATGACCACCTCCAGTGCGACTATTAGAAGAAGAAAAAACCGGAACTTAGCTAAGGAACATGAATAACACTGGGTTTCAACGACATCACACAAAATTTCTCATGGTACAAGTGCAAAAGAATAATCGCTTGGTGCAGGGTCAACGCTCGAACAAATGTAAAAGTGAAGCCACTGAGATTCATTTGAGCGCTTCCTCGCGCCTTCTATAAATCTCTGAACTCAAATGGACAGCTAGCGACCAGCTCCATCCAAATGTTAGTAATGCCTGCACTTTTACGCTTTGTATATGTGGTATAACGCGATCATAAGAATTTCTAATGTTTATCGATTCTACAGCTTCAGCCTTTCCATTTGAAAAATATATTGGTGAAGTGCTTTCAATCAACCATTAGGTATGTTGGTAAAGAGCATTGCTGTAGACATTACACACACACACACACACACACACACACACACACACACACACACACACACACACACACACACACACACACACACACACACACACACACACACACACACACACACACACACACACACACACACACACACACACACACACACACACACACACACACACACACACACACACACACACACACACACACACACACACACACACACACACACACACACACACACACACACACACACACACACACACACACACACACACACACACACACACACACACACACACACACACACACACACACACACACACACACACACACACACACACACACACACACACACACACACACACACACACACACACACACACACACACACACACACACACACACACACACACACACACACACACACACACACACACACACACACACACACACACACACACACACACACACACACACACGGACGAGCCATTTGGTAAGCGCTGCCGTCCGCTGGTTCCTTCTTTTGCAAGTGCTTCAAAGCAAATCACACATTTATTTTGACTCTTTTCAGCAAATGTAAAGCTCATGAAATCGAGTAACTCCCTATGACTAACCATCGCCCTTGTTTTGTCCTTGTGTAGTGCTATTTGCGTCACTTTTGTCGTCGAGTATGATAAAAATGGCACAAGATCAAGTTATATGTCATTTTCTAGGAAAAAAGCAGAAGAGAGGTTAGTTTTGGACGCATCAAAAATATTATGCTGCAAAATAACCTTCTGAACGTTTATTATTGCGAACGACTCAAGAAGCCATCAGTTGCATCTAACATAATCCAGCGACCGAGACTAACGTGTGCCGCTGATGATAAAGGCCTTGCTTACAGCGATGAAATGACATAAATTTGGCGTGCATATGAGGAACTTCGAATTATGTCTAATCTGTGGAAGCTCATGTGAGGTAAAACCGCTACAGCTGACTTTGCTTACAATCTTTATTCTCATATTCCGAGTTCTGTTCTGCGGACTTGGAAGCTATACAAAACAGCTATGTTTTTTCAGAACTGTTCAGCCATTGCCGTAACCGATTTCTCGTTGTGACATAAAATTTTTGCGCAGTCTGACATCGATAAAAAGACACCATGAAAAGTTTGTAGCTTAGAGCTTCCTCCTTTTGAGACGTTAGAGCAACAGTGAATGAGCAAGGAAATGTTTAAAAGAGTTTTTGGCAATTCGAGCTATCCAGACAGACAAAAAGGAATGATTATGTCTAGATACTGGACAAGGTCTTAAAGACACCGTCCATCGAGATTCTTGACTTTTACGTTCTCGTTGTTCCAGGGCCTTCATATGTCGCTGATCCCGAATATGAAGTCAATCGGCAAAAACCCCGACTTCTAGTTCCGAAGAAGTCGCAGAGCGGTTCTCTGGGACGGCGTTTGATATCCGGTGAGCAAAGATGGGCAGGCATTACTGAAGGAGCATTGCCGTCTGAAGGGCACCCTGCCCTTTTCGTTGTATTGGAGCAATTCCGAAGCGATAATCTGCACCGCGACCAGGCTTCGGTTGAAGGAGAGGGATGGGGAGAGACTACTATCGTACACTGCCAAAAGCTCAAAAGCTCCAGTTAAAAATGAAGGTACTTTTAAACAACGAAAGACAATCAATAAGCAGTCGGAATCAACGGAGAGACGATGCGATTAATCTGCTATTTTCATTCTTATTCGAACTAGTTTTTTCTTCATAGAAAACGTACTTCACATAAGTTCGGAACGGGTGAACAGTTCGCAATTTGGACTAACAATAAGACGAATGCTTTAACTTATAAAAAGTTTTAAATAAAATCAAGGAAAACGCGATAAAACAAGCTGGACAGGTGATCAGTAGGCCATTGTGACACAGGTTAGAGGGCCAGATTTACTCAAAGACCAACGCTTGCGAGAGTCAGCGCAAAGGTATGCAGGAAAGTGCAGGAGCAGCCAGGCGATATGGATTGGAAATTGGGAATGGATTTCAAACCGTGAATAAAGAGTTTTAGTAGCTTATTGCGCAGTTTTTTAGTCAGACGTTTTTATCAATTTTATCAAAAATCGTGTGCATAGATCCGTCTGGACAGGCTCCCAAACTGTGGTAACTGCAGCGGTATTAGCTGAGTTTCCGAACAAGTTCTCACGCTAACAGAAACCCTCCTCTTCGAAAGACGTCCGCGTGAGAATCAAAACGCCACCATCACGCACGGACAGCGTTTTGAATTGGCATGCCACGCATTAAATGGTGTCATACGTAACAACTGCGTAACAGTGGCGGTCCCAGGATTTCGGACTGGGGGGGGGGAGGGAAGGGGGGACCAAAATTTTTTCTGATTGAAGGTGCTGACGTTAACCACGCACTCCGAAAAAATTTTTGGGGTGCTTCCCGACATTTTTGTGGGTCCATGACGCCCCCGAAAAAATTTTTTTACAAGACTAATTTAAATTTGAAAAAAAAATTGGAAATTATCCTGATTATCTCTCTATATATAAAACAGAAAATCTGTATGTTTGTGCACATTGTGGAAGTTGTGCAGGGTGTGCAGGTTGTGCAGGGTGTGCAGGTTGTGCAGGGTGTGCAGGGTGTGCAGGGTGTGCATGGTGTGTAGAGTGTGCAGGGTTGGGAGGGGGATAAGTGAACATGCTGATCCGAATACATTATTGACAGGACCGGTCGGAGCAGGGTTTGCCAGCTTGTTTACAGATAAAAACAAGTCTCGTGCACATATTTATAAACCATATAAGTAACTTTCAGGAATTTCGCAACCCATACTCGAGCCCCCCCCCCCCTTTCGGACCGCCACTGCTGCGTAATAATATCTTGAGAAAGATCCCTGCCTGGACATAACTCTCCTTCCATTGCGCATCGTAGACAACGCGATGAACGTCACCCACATAGAAAAAAAGCTTCAGTCAAAGTAGTCTTTCCGCGTTAGAATCATAATACGGTCAAAACAAGGAATTTCACAGACTGAACTTCCCGTTTATACTCGATACTCCCTTCTCCCTACTAAATCCAGAAAAGCTGCAAAGTTACAATTTATTCCAGTTGCGCGCTCAATTTTCGGATACAAAACATTATCTGATTCGCTTTTCATAGTCCGCAAATAAGAAAGAGAGATTTGAAAGTACAGTTTTATCTCCAATACACAAACCATTCATAATGTTCTTGTTAGTACTTACAAGGGAGGGTCACGAAGTCGGAACGGCCGAACTCTACAAACTGGATGTCATTAATGGGAGCTTGGGAAGCTGATTCCAAATCTGCTCTCCTTATCTGCAGAGCCCCTTTAGCAAAAGAATTTAGAGCATTTTTGAGGCGAAAAAATGATCTAGTGGCCAAGATATTATTAATTACTGCAGCCTCTCTACATTTTAATTGAAGCAGCGGCAACATTCAGGACACTTCATACAATAAACACCTTCTGCCTAGTAAATCATTCCATCCAATTTTGCCATTTGACGTCTAGGAAGGCTGTAACGATTGATTTTAGCTTTGCCACTTGTATTTCTTTGCCTAAAAATTGCACATGACTTCTTCTTTAAAGGAGCTCAGATATGGAAAGATTTGGAATCAGCGTCCAAGCTCTCATTAATGGTATGCAGTTTGTGGTAATC